CAACAACAAACCAACAAACAAACCAGACAACTCAATTAAAAATAAATGGAAAAGGATTTGAAGTGTGTTTACTAAAGGCTTAATACAGATGGAAGAAAGGTCAGGAAGGAATTTTCATTAGACATGAAAGAGGTGCTATTTTAAATCACACTGCCATTCCACCCACACCTTTTTAAACGTCTAATTGATTCAAGTCACTTGATTCAATATCACTCCACATTGAAGTCACTTTTGGAGTTTTTCACAGGGTGGGTGGAAGCACATTTTGTGAATGACAGCTTTTAAACTAGGTAACGAGCTCCTGTGGAAATAAGCATGCCCATTCTTGGGTGGATCAACCTGGATTTGGGCTGCTGCTTGCCTGGCCCAGCAGTGTCTCCACTCTGCAAGAGGAAGAGGAAGCTGTTCTCTAGTCCCTGCAGGAAGGAAGAGTGGGGCCTCCACTGGCCTGCTGAAGGAGGATTGAATCAGACTGGATTTTTCATCCCCTCTTGTGGGATATCTCGCTACTGTTCACCTTTGGTGTTTGGCCTTCCAAGCTGCACATCTGCATTCTGACATTTTCTGCCTTTTATTGCAGAAACAAGTAGATCCTTTAAATTCATTTTCCTCACCCCCTTCCCAAGTAGACATTACTCACTAAGGCAGTCTGATAGTCTATGCAACTGTCCCCAGAGAGGGCTAATCTGCTCTCTTGACTTTTTATTAAGTCATGGTCAGGGCAAAAGGGATGAGAAATGGTGTAAATGTATTTTGAAAATGCAGGATTTCACCCTGACCATTTCCCTGGTCCTAATCTGTCTCTCCCAAACTGACCCCATGTCAGTCTGGCTGAAAAGGTGACTTAGACTTATCTCTGTTTAAGTTGTATGTAAATGTTTTTCTCTGAAATAGTACCTGCTTCTCTTGCACCCTATCTTTGTCGACGAAAGTTCTTGGTTAGTGTAGGGGATGACTGGAAGTTAAAATTTATCAAAACTTATGTACACATATGATATATGGGGTCACTTGCAGTAGGGAGAGATGTAAAAAAATTTAAAGGTACAGTATTAAATCATAACTGCCTAAAATTAGCTATAGTACATAATATGCTACTGGAATAATTTTGTAGCCACTTCCTGTTGCTATTGCAGTGAGCTCAGGCATTATATCACTTAAAGTGCTGTGTGATGCTAATCTCCAGATGAACAATTTCTGTCTCCAGAAAACTGCATTTTGCAGTAAAAAGTGAACTCTCATGGTTCTCACGTATTGTTCATCGTTACTAGCACAATAATGTGAACCTTGACACCATGGAAGGAAGCCATACAATGGGCTATAGTGATGCTGGAAATACTGCAAAATACTTTCTCTTTCTTATGACTTTGTTAGCAAGATTTGTTTTCTCTAGCTTACTTTAACAGTCTAGAATTCATAAAACATAAAGATATGTGTTAATTGACTGTTTATGCTATAGGTAAGGTTTCTGGTCAACAGTAGGCTATGAGTAGTTACATTTTTGTGAAGTCAAAAAATTGTATGTGGATTATCAAGTGTGCAGAGGTGTCAGTGCCCCTGGTCCCTGCGTTAAAGATCAACTCTACTAAAGGGAACAACTAGAATAAACACTGTGAAATTGAATTAGAATTGAAAGTATTGGTAAGAACCCATGGTTTTCAACATATTTTAATACAGAAATATAGATGAATGTATGCATGTATGTATGTGTATTTATATATACACATGTATTGCCCTGCTGTGTTTACTGAGGAAGGCTGTGAGCAATGAAAACCCCTGAAGCCACACACTCACCTATCATAATGAGCACCCAAGACCTTCGTTTTTAGATATTATTTTCTCCTAAAAAGAAATCAGCTTTTCTAAGAAAAATGGCTAATTCCAGGCTTGAAGCATAGAAAATATAAGCTTGGAGCATCTTGTTGTACCAGAGTACAAAGTGCTCAAGGAATAATGGAGACAGGCCACAAAGATGTGAGTGAAGTCAGCTTGAAATGGCTGCCATTGGCCAAATCTGGGAGCACCTGAGCACCACAATCACAAGACTTCTGCCTATTTGTTTGTTGGGGTTTTTTTAAAAAAATAATTTATTATACTTTACATTCTGGAGTATATGTGTGGAACGTGCAGGTTTGTTAAATAGGTATACACATGCCATGGTGGTTTGCTGCACCCATTAACCCATCATCTACATTAGGTATTTCTCCTAACTAACACTATCGCTCCCTATCCTCCCACCCCCCACCAGGTCCCAGTGTGTGATGTTCCCCTCTCTGTGTCCTCATTGTTTAACCCCCACTTATGAGTGAGAGAGAACATGTGGTGTTTGGTTTTCTGTTCTTCCGTTAGTTTGCTGAGAATGATAGTTTCCAGCTTCATCCATGTCTGTCCAAAGGACATGAACTCATCCCTTCTTATGGCTGCATAGTATCCCATGGTATATATGTGCCACATTTTCTTTATCCAGTCTATCATTGATGGGCATTTTGGTTGGTTCCAAGTCTTTGCTATTGTGAATAGTGCCACAATAAACATACATGTGCATGTGTCTTTATAGTAGAATGACTTACAATCTTTTGGGTTATATCCCAGTAATGGGATGCTAGGTCAAATGGTATTTCTGGTTCTAGATCCTTAAGGAATCGCCACACTGTCTTCCACAATGGTTGAACTAATTGACACTCCCACCAACAGTGTAGATTTTGTTTTAACAATTTATCCATGCAAAAAAAAATGAAAGAATAATAGAATCATTATCTGGAAATAATCGTAATAATTGAAGTAATAATAATCAGTGAAATGCTACTCTAGTGGGTGGAATTCTGAGAAGCCAGATATTTACAAAGCTTCAAAGTATCTTCACACGGATAGTAGGGTAAATAATAACTTTACCATGGACAACCGTGTCAGATTCTCCTTAACTAAACATTGGCCAGTAACGGAACCATGCGGCAGCATATGCCTCCAGACATGCTGCATTGGGAAGAACTCAGCCTCACTTGTGCAACATTCCTGCCCTAATGGCATAACCTAAATCTATGTATGAGGAAACATCATATGAACCCAAATTTAGAGGAAATCTACAAAATAACTGGCTTATATTTTTCAAAACCATAATGCCATGAAAATCAAAGACAGACTAAGGAACAATCTCAGATTTTAAAGAAACAGGACAACTGAACACAACACATCATGGACTGTGAAAATCCACCCACTTGGATTTTCTATGGCTCTAAAAGAGATCATGGAGACAGTTGGTACCTCTAAATAAGGGCTGTAGATGATTAGATACTAATATTAATCAAATTTTAATTTCCTGATAAGTTGATTATACTACAGCTGTTTAAGGTAAGTCCTTGTTTTTAGGAAATACACACTAAAATATTAGAAGTAAAGAGGAATTGGGTCCCCAACAGTTCAGGAAAAAAGTCTATGTTATATACCTACATTTTTATTTATCTAGAAAGAGAAAAAGAAAGAATAAAGCAAATGTAAGCAGTCAAATGTTAACATTTGGAAAACTGTACCCAAGAATTCTTTATACTACTCTAACAAGTTTTCTGTAATTCTGGAATTATAAAAATAAAACATATCTAAAAATAAAAATCAATTTTTAAAACTATTAACAAATTATAACCACATGGAATGAAATGAACCATGAATCCATATTGATACAAGTAAACCAACAAATTGAAAGTTCAATGAAGAACAAATATATTCACATAGTCTCAAATTTCCTCCCCACCGAAAATTACAAGGTGAAAAAGTAACGTAACAGAGGAGAAATCCAGAAAATACCACTACTGGTGATCAAGGCTAACATTACCAGTAATAGGACAAATCAAAATTTTAGGTCACATGATAGCACTCAATGAAATCACAAGATACTCATCAAAAATATATGAACTAAGTCTAATCATAAAGAAACATAAGAGAAACCCAACTGAGGAAGTTTCTACATTACTGCACTTAATTCTTCAAAAGATTCAAGGTCATAAATGCTAACAAAAGAGTGAGTCGCTGTTCTAGACTGAAAGAGTCTAAGAGACACGACAATTAAATGCAATCCATGCTTCTGAATGGAATTCTTTTGCTATAAAGGACATTATAGACAAGTAATAAAACTTAAAAAGGATCTGAGGATAATATGATTGAATATATTCATGTTATCTTTCTGATTATGAAAGTTGTATTGTAGTTATATAGAATGTCCTGACTTGTAGAAATACTAAAGTAATCAGGAGTGATTTTGTAATGTCAGTAATTTATTCTCAAGTGGCTACAGGGGAAAAAGTTCTTTGTATTAAAACTTGAAACTTTTCTCTATTTTTTTTTTTTTGAGATGGAGTTTCACTCTTGTTTCCCAGGCTAGAGTGCAATGGTGCAATCTTGGCTCACTGCAACCTCCACCTGCCAGGTTCAAGTGATTCTCCTGCCTCAGCCTCCCAAGTAGCTGGGATAACAGGCATATACCACCACGCCTAGCTAATTTTTTTTGTATTTAGTAGAGATGGTGTTTCACAATGTTGGTCAGGCTGGTCTTGAACTCGACCTCAGGTGATCCACCTGCCTTGGCCTCCAAAAGTGCTGGGATTTACAGATGTAAGCCACTGTGCCTGGCCCTTCTCTCTCATTTTAAGACTGTTTCCAAAAAGGTAATCAAAAATAAACAAACAGAAATGGTGAACAGCTTTAGGCAAACCTTATTTTTCCATTCAACATTCTATATAATTCAGTGTTGAAAATTAAAATTATATAACTTTGATGGCATGGTAATAATTGTAATACATCTAATATTGACGATGACCACAGTACCAGTGTATCAAAATGATATGTCTGTCTATATCTAAATCTAAATCCCTAAATATAGTGGTAAAAATTATAAAATACCAGTAAGTCATCAATTTATTCCACTAAAGTATTAATGACAACTTTGATGTTTGGTTGTTTAAACAGCTGAAATGTGGGCAGTTTGAATATGTAAAACTCAAAAACTCTGGTTTTCATTTGCAAGATTCACTGAAAAGTTAGAGACCAAGGAGCATAATTTAAAACACTATATAAATTGTCTTTAGACATACAAGATATAAAAATATTTTCATTTAATAAACATCCTTGCATGTCACACATTTAATGGGAAATGAAATATCATGTTAACAGCCTAGTAATACAATTTTATTACCTTACAGATTTTTTTTATTTGTTTGTCAGCACACATTCTTGTTTTGTTTTTGAGATGGAGTCACCCTGTTGCTCAGGCTGGAATATCTTAGCTCACTGAAACCTCTGCCTCCTGAGTTCAAGTGATTCTCCCACCTCAGCCTCCTGTGTAGCTAAACCTACAAGTATTCGACAGCATGCCCAGCTAATATTTGTATTTTTAGTAGTGACAGGGTTTCACAATATTGGCTAGGCTGGTCTTGAACTCCTGACCTCAAGTGATCTGCCCGCCTCAGCCTCCCAAAGTGCTGGGATTACAGGCATGAGCCACTGCACCCGGTCAGCACGTATTCTTGTTATGCTTTTAAAACTAGTTATAGATTTAGATTTTACTCATTAGTAGATTCTAGTGCAGAAGCTATAGAGCAGCAGTCCCCAACTTTTTTGGCACCAGGGACCAGTTTTGTGGAAGACAATTTTTCCACAGATGGGGGTTTGGGGAATGGTTTCAGGATGATTCAAGCACATTACATTTATTGTGTACTTTATTTCCATTATTATTATATCATAACATACAATGAAATAATTATACAACTCATCATAATATAGAATCAGTGGCTGCCCTAAGCTTGTTTTTCTGCAACTAGATGGTCTCATCTTGGGGAGATGGGAGACAATGACATGTCATCAGGCATTAGAGTCTCATAAGGAGCATGCAACCTAGATCCCTTGAACATGCAGTTCATGATAGGGTTTTCACCCCTATAAGAATCTAATGCCTTCACTTATCTGACAGGAGGCGGTGCTCAGGTGGTAATGTGAGCAAGGAGGAGTGACTGTAAATACAGATGAAGCTTCACTTACTTGACTGCCACTCACCTCCTGCTGTGTAGCGTGGCTCTGAACCGGTCTTGGACCCCTCTGTGGCTGGCGGGTTGGGGACTCCTGCAATAGAGGACCCAGTTTTAATTTAGAGGAAGATAGGATGAAAAAGAAAGAATGTATTCTTTATCTAAATGATTTCATAGTTAGCTAAGATAAAGTCAGTAAAACTTGAAAAGTTTATCAGCATTAGTAAGAATGAAAAATATGCACAATATGCAATTACTCTTAAATATAATTTGCCCATAGTTGCACACTGAATTCCTTAACATTGTAGTTAAGTATCAGAGCTTCTCATTTTCATACTCCTCATTCATGTATTTAGCAACCATGTGCTGAGGTACTAGGACGAGCACTAGAATTACAAGATGAAGATGATTCAGTCCACCCCTCAACAACTATATGCTATAATCTGAAAAAATAAACAGGCAATTCCCATTGAGAGTCACAGATACAATGACAGGCATTTATCAGAAGACACAGAAGGGATACTAGCCCAGGTTTGTGTCAATATTGTAGGCTTTTTGATGGAGGTGATTCATAGGTTGATAACTGAAGGATAAAGAAAATACACGTAGGATAGAGGGAAGAAGTAAATGCAAAGAGCTGGAGATGAGGATGATCACTGTGGAGCTCCATGAAGTCTAGTGTGGCTGGATGGTAGAACAAAGGGGCCGAGTATGGTGAGTGGTTAACAAGGTGTAAGGATACTCTCTCTTATGATTATGTTTTCACATTTTTCGCTAAATGGATATCAGAAAAAATATTTAATGCAATTTTTATTAACCAAGCAATGGAGAGAAATACAGTACACTACTTATATTTTATTTCAGAAATCAATGATTTGAATTTAATTCATAAATTCTGGCAACATACCTTCATCTACTTCTGTAGTTTCATTTTCTTGCAACACCTGTTGCCTCTGAAATAAATCAAATATTACTTATAATGTTTCAGTCAAACAAAAGACATTACCATGTAAACCCGTTGTAAGTCAAGGAGCATCTGTACTGTAGATTGATCATTCCTAATCTAAAAATCTGAAATTCAAAATGCTCTAAAATCTGAAACTTTTTGAGCATAGACATGACACCACAACTGCAACATTCCACACCTTACCTCATGACAGGCTGCAGTGAAAACAGTAAAAACTGTTACCTGCAAAAAATTTCTGTAAAACATTGTAGAGAATTACCTTCTGGCTATGTGTATAAGTTGTATAAGAAACTATAAGTGAATTTCATGTTTAGGTTCAGGTACCATCCCCAAGATATTTCATTAGGTATATGCAAATATTCCAAAGTCTGAAAAAAATCTGCTTCTGGTCTCAAGCATTTTGGACAAGGGATATTCAGCCTGTCCCACTAGAAAAATAAAATTCCTTTTCAGTATGAGAGAAATTAAGAGATTAGCTTACCAGAGTTGAATTTTGCATGATTTTCTGAAGCTGTTCAATTTGGTCGTCTTGGTTTTTAATTATATTTCTTATCACGGAATTTTCCATTTCAAGCCTAAAATGTGCATTTTAAAATAATTACTCTCACACACAAATTTTTTAACACCATGTAAATTCTAAACAAACTTCTGAAGGCATAATTACACAAATTCTTAGAGATTTTAAAAGTAGATGTTTGGGCAACTATGTCATTTTTCTACCTAGGAATAATGTAGAAAAAATGACGTATTTCAATATAATTTACAAATGAAACTTTTCCTTGGCTTCACAAAGGCATACTTATTATCATAACTGATAACAATTCTCATACTACAGTGCTCTTTTGCTTTATAAATACTCAGGTTATTTTGTGTTCAAACTGTACTTCTGTATGTGGCCTTGCGTCTTCTCAGTACGTCTTAAAGTCGCTGTAAGTTGATCCTGTATTCCCTGAAACTAAAACAAAGAATTAAAAAGAAACCATTTATATTTGTTAAATGTCCATCAGTAGATGAATAAATCAACAAAATATAATATATATAAAATATTGTTTTAGACTATCACAGTCTTTTTTCTTTAAAAAAAGGTCATAATCCAGGAAAAATCATCCCATTACCTGTTTTTTTGTAACTAATTTTACTGGAACACTGCTATACCCCTTCAGTCCACATATTGTTTATGGCTACTTTCATGCTATAACTGTAGGGTTGAGTTATTTAAGAGGGATCTTATGGCTCACAAAGCCTTAAATATTATCTGGCCCTGTACAGAAAAGTTTACTGATCCATGCTCTAGAACTAAAACACAATATTCTTCTTGCTTTTGAATGATATTTTATCAGATAAATACTCAAACTTACAAATTGATAAAATGTGGAAAGTTAAAGGATTACCTCATGGTAAGCATTTATATTTTTGAATTCCAAACACTACCACATCAACTATAATTTTAGTTTTTTGTATGTATGCATTTAGTTTTATTGTAGCAAAGCAACTTGCACATTTCTAATATTTAAAACTAAGCATCATCTTTCCTTTGTAGGAAAAGTTCAAGAAATTTTAAAAATAAGCAGGAACAAAATTAAAACAAAGTCCATTCTAAGTAAGATCTTACAGGATCATATTGACTCTCCCATTGAGTAGCAGGACTCAAGGCATCGTTAAAATAGAAGTCATTAAAAAGCATCATCTTAAACTGCAAGGTGTCCATTAAACATGCTAAAGGAGAAGCCCTGTTGTCTAAATGCCCACTTAACCCACCCAAACATCTCAAACCCACCCTTTGCTGATCTTCTATAACCCCCTTTTTAGTTTAGTTTTTTTTTAATAAACAAGAGAAAATAGATACATGTTGGCAAATGCTAACTGTCCATGTTCATATAGAGACAGAGTGTACTCTGAGCCCAATACAAAGAGAGAGTAAGGATTTTCATCACAATAAAAATTTATTTAGTAGAATGGCCTTTCTGTACAAAATTAACCTGAAATCTACTGAAATAAGTATACACAGGTTCTTTATTCATTCAGAAAAGTAGAGATTAAAAATAAGATAATTTTCTGAAACATTCCATTAGACATTATCCTCTGAATCTGGCTTTTCTCATCATGGCAATAGAGAAACCATTAAAAACAGACTGTTGAACAGGAAAGAAAAAAAACCTCTCTGAATTTATGTGAGAAATGATGCATAATTCTCAACTTCCCTGAGGTTAAATATTTAAGGAAAAAAATATATGTATAAAAATGGCAGAATGAAAGCCAGAGATTAAGAAATAGGTGTATTATAAAGATAATAAAATTTTAATAAAATTAATGATAATGAAAATACAAAAGAAAGGCATCCACTATAAAATTTTAATAAAATTACTTAGAATGAAAATACAAAAGAAAGCCAGCCACTAAAATTAGTACCCCAAAAACTTTATATTAGTTAACCACCATTAGTTAGCATTTGCCAACATGTATCTATTTTCTCTTGTTTATTAAAAAACAGATTAACTGTTGTTGGCATGTGAAGTTTCATACATACTTGACTTCTCATCTGGCCTGCTTTCTTCTTTGAATCCTCCAGCTCACTTTCTAAATGGATGGAGCGACAGCAATGACGCATCCACCAAAGTTTTTGATGTTGATTCTTTGTGTAGGGCATCATCCCGTTTTTGCTGAAGTTGTCTCACAAGTACCTGATAAGATGTTATTTTTATTACTGGTTTTACAAATCACCTTATTATTGAACCATTAATAATATTTAACTCTAAAGTATACACTTTGAAAAATATCACCACACAGACTGATTCACCTTCTTTTCCTCATATGTACACATTCCTGTTTATTACTGAATCCCATTAAGGATACAGAAAGTGTTATCTTCCTATCAAACTAGTATTGTTATTCACAGAACATATTCAGCTCACTAGTCATCCTCCCCTGATGAATTTGTAATGCTTAAAACCTTCTGAAGTATCCAAAAGAAATGAGTATGTGGGTGGGACTGATGGTAGTAAATTTCACACTATGGAATGATTTCCTCCTTTTTTTTTTTTTTAATTAGAAACTCAAATCAACCTCAGAGTTCCTCACATTAAATCATCTGCTTAAATCCTTCCAATAAGATTTCTATCGCAGAACAAAAGTAAAATTCCAATGGCCTTAGATGATCTAAGTAACCTGCCCTCCACCTCCTGACCTGACCTCAGCTGCTATGTCTGACTACTCCATTCCTACTCTACATGAATCCTGCCACTCCTCATTAGTCTGAAATCCTCCTTAGTCTGAAAATTGGGATACAATGTCAAACTAATAAATCACAGACAGCTATGCCTCTCTTTGTCCTAGACAAAGTTATATCCAAATGATAGTAATTAAGCCTTGACATAAAAATTATAAGCAAATTTTTCATAAAAATAACAAAGTAAATTATAAATGCCAGTAGGAAGATTAAATTAAATACAGTTTGGCTAAAATTTACCACATTTTCCTCATACTATAAGTAAAGTCAGATGCCTTTAAAAAGTGGAATGATCATGGTCTTAAAATGTGGCAACATAATACATTAAAATTATTATTTCAGCAGCATAAGACTACATTAATATTAGTCTATAATAACAAAATTTCATAAGTGACACATTGACTTTAATCAGAGGAAAGCATCTCTCAGTTCTAAGTTTGATTTGCTGGAGACAAGGAATGTTTCTAAGCTGGTATAGCAGATATATTTATCCTATGTATCCTTTTTTATATTCAACTAGATTCAACATTTAGCTGTAACCAAACATTACTTTAAATTTTACTTCAGGAAGTTTGAAAAATACTTATTTTTCTTGATACTCACTTCTCTTTCTGCTCTCTCTCTTTCATACTGACATTGTTTTTCTTTCAGATGATTAACTTCACTGATCAACCTCTTATTCTCTTCTTCTAGCAAAATAGAGCACTTTCTGCACTCAGCTTGAACATTTTGTACTCTAGCATCACATTTGGCTTGAATATTAATTAATATTTTTTCTTGATTGTCAGCTTTGTTGTGAGCATCATTCAGTTGCTGTTGAAGCAACATACTTTGTCTATGTAGTTGACATAATCTTTCCTGCTTTTCTATGCATTTTTCTACTTTATCTTGGCCATTTTTATACATTTTTTCAATGTCCTTCATTTGACACTGTGTTTGGTTTAGGTCTCTTTGCATGCATTCAAAAACCAAAGTCTTTTCTTTCAGAGCCTCTCTTGTGTAACACAGCTCAGTTTCGAGGCCACTGGACTTACTCTCAGCTTTAGAAAGTTGCTGAGAAAGAATCAGAACATGAGAATTCAAATTTTCCTGTAAATGACACCATTTATCTACTGTGCGCTGGAAAGCAAGCTCTTGGTCTCTTTCTGATGACTGACTTTGATCATGATCACGTAGAACAGCATTCAGTCTACAACGGTATGATTCAATTTCTGTTTCCAGTCTTCGGTTGCTTTCCTTTTCCTGCTCCAGTTTGGAACGGAGCATTGTGTTCTCATCTGTCAGAGCAGTAAGCCGTCCACTAGAACGGGCGATCATTTTTGTTAATGTTTCCCCATTCCATTTTAGAGCCTTTTGAAGGTCTTCATTCCTCCCTTTTATAATTTCAATGTCTTTTAAATATTTCTTTTCCAGGTTTTGATTTTTAATTGTCTCTATTTCCAGCCTAAGCCTGGCAATTTCATCTTGCATCAAGTGGTTTTTAGGCAACAGGTCTTCTTTTCCATGACTATCAGAAATCTAAGCAAAACAAAGAAAACTTTTAACTAGTACCCAATAGGATAACATATTATGATTGCTTCTGAAATTAAATAATAACCTGTACATTTATATAATGAGAGGGTTGCCATAACTCTAACTGGAAAAAAAAAAGTTGAGTCAAAACCTCAAACCTCATAGAGGTTTGAATTCCCCAAAGTTTAAAAATTTGAAGACAGTGAATCCATGAAGGCAAAAAAGAAACCACTAAATAATTTTTTTAAATCTCAGAATTTAAAAAAGGCTTTTACTGAATTACAACAAACCCCAAGGCATAAAGGAGTAATAACTACGACTATATTATAAAACTGAGTTTGCATTCTAACACCTAATCTATGCTTCTCCCTAGGGTAAGAGCATTAGCTTGGTAGATATTTGGACAGATGAATGAAATTTTCCAAATTCTTTAAGTTCTTTTTTCCTAAAATACTGTATAGATATTCTACTTTTCTAATACTGTTATGGTCAGTTTTAAGAATGACATTTACTGATAAATAATATATCTAAGCATTGTACTAAGCACTTCTATATGCACAGATCAATGAACTCATTTAGTTATAATTCTATAGTGAAAGTTTAAAAATATAAGCAAGCTGCAGGATTTCCCCCAGGTTTTCTGACTCTACTTCTAGTGCTCTTCCACCAAATCAGTGACTTCTGTTAGGTAGATATACACATACAAAAATAGTCTTTTATTTCCAAACACCAAAAGTCAAGAATATTAAATTTATTGAGCTCCCCTTAGAAAATCATGAGATTACTTGCTATTATGATAACTTTTATTTCCTTTCCATAATATTGAAACAGTAATTAACATGAAATAGGGAAAAATATGCTCAACAATGTCACTAGGAACAACATTCTTACAATACCATTAAGCATATATTATTGAATATCATTGTTTCCAAAAGGTCTTTGAACTAAAAAAAAATTGATGTCAAGATCTATTATAAATAATTGTAGCTATAAATGCCATGATTCATTTTTTAAGATAAAATAAAATTTTTGGTTTTAGGGCTAAATAATATATACTAAATTAAAGAGATATTATAACTAATATTAATAAAAGTAGAAACATGAAGTTTCACCAAACATTAATTTACCTGATTTGAATCATTTTCCACAGTCTCCAATTCCACCTCCAGTGATGTGATGGCCAGTTTAAGTTGTTTTATCTCTTTGGCGTCTATCGCATATTGCTCTTCTATTATTATCTTTTCCCTAACTTCTTCGTGCAACTTTTCAGAATTTCTTCCTTTCTCTTTTTCTTGTGGTATGGCATATCTGTAAATACACTTATCTTAGAATTTATTTTATCAGTGAAGATTAAGCTCTCTGATTTTTTATCTTGCCCAATTCCTACCTAAGGGGTCCAGGGAGTCATGCTCTACAAACCATGGATTCTCATCAGATTGGTTTTATTTGACCCTGTACATTGTAACTTGCTTTTCAGTCTGACTCTGGCATAACATTTTGAGACAAGGAAGAAAATATTTAATCAAAATATACTTCTTTGCCATGCCTTGAAATTGCCCTGAAAATTTTGTGAGAAAAAGTCACATTCTATAGGGAATCCCTTTATCTCTTTGTTTTCGTTCCTTTCTTTGCAGAGTCAGGAGATAATCAACAAAGAATCAGGCACCCTTTTGGGTCCCATAAGAAACATTTTACAACCTGCTTTCTCTCTCCCTGAAATCTGCTGAGAGATTCCTCTGCAAAATAAAACTTGGTCCCCACAATCATTTATCTCAACCTGAACATTCCTGTCCATTAATCCCAGGTCTTCAAATAAACTCAACCAAGCGTCAACCAGAAAATGTTTAAATCTACCTATAGCCTGAAAGTCCCTGCTTTGAGTTGTCCCACCTTTCTGAACCAAACCAATGTATAAAATGAATAAAACTAAGCTGCACCCCGACCATATTGGGCACATGTTCTTGGGACCTCATGAAGGCTGTGTCATGGGCCATGGTCACTCATATTTGGCTCAGAGTAAATTTCTTCAAATATTTTACAAAGTGTGACTCTTTTTGTTGATACCAGAAAATAAAACATTCATATGTTGGTTTATTACCCTAATAAAGTTTCTATGTTCTTAAATATTATTTTTCTTTCTAGTTCTTATGTTTTTAATTTCTCACCTCAATTTCATCCAAAGGACATGTATAAATTGAAGTATACTGATAAAAGAACATCCTGCTAATCTGTAAGTTTCTGTTACTAGTAACTTTAGTAAATATTATTAAAAAGGATGTTGAAAATTATTCAGTAAAGTTGCAAGATAAAAATTACCTTTTTTTCACACAGTAATTACTCCTCAATTAGAATGGATCATTTAGAATTAACTAATTAAAATGAAGCTACTTTTTATAAATAAGTTAATACATTCACTAGAAATAAATTTTCATCTTCGTGAAACTTTGCAGGTATCCCTTAGCATAATTTACATTGTACAATAGCACTTTCAGATGTCTTTATGAAATATGTATCAGCACATTGCTGTAATCCAAGACTAGATTAAGAATCTAATATGTTACCCTACACTTTTTAAGATTGTTTTTTGGGTAAAACTTTCAACCTATCCTGTTGATTAGTATATATTTTATAAACAATTTTAAAATCTGTTTTAAAACAACACAAGATCTAATATTTAATTAAACAATAATAAGTGTCTTCAGCATAGAACTTTGAATTAATTTTATCTATGTAGCAGAGAGAGATGATCAGTAATCACTTTCCATTTTACTTTTTATTCCCTGCATATTAAGAATAAAATGATAATTTTTGTTGGTTTATTTTTTGAGAGAGAGTCTGCAATGGCACGATCTCGGCTCACTGCAACCTCCACCTCCTGGATTCATGCGATTTTCCTGCCTCAGTACCCCGAGTAGCTCGGATTACAGGTGAACACCACCACACCCAGCTAATTTTTTGTATTTTTAGTAGAGATGGGGTTTCACTATGTTGGCCAGACTGATCTTGAACTCCTCACCTTGTGACACACCTGCCTCAGCTTCCCAAAGTGTTGGGATTACAGGCATGAACCACCACACCTGGCCAATAATTTTAAAAATAATTGTTCTGGAAAGAGAAAAATATCTATTTCATACTCTGTTGATTGAATTGTAAATTAATATAAATATTCTTAAGAACAATTTAGAAACACTGATCAAAGACCTTTTTAAAAAAGTTTCTATGCTTTAACTAGAATTTGCCCAAAGTAAATAATTAGAAATGTAGAAAACTATGTATATGTAATAAATGTTCTTTGCAGCATTAATACAAAAACTTTTTAAAACCTAAAATTCAATTTGTCAATTAAATAATGAGATTTCCATAGGGCAAAATTCTATACACTCAATTAAAACTATGACTTAAAAGAATATGCATTTAGTTATTAGGGAAGTATTCACAATTAAGAACTTGTGATATTATATTGAAGAATTTCACACTCCACAAGATTAAGATGCTTTCTTCCCTGTTAAATCCTAGAAAGAAAATCAGCGATTACAAAAATTATCCTTATACACCCTTAATAATAAATAAATAATTCAAACATTTCTTAAAAACTAGAATGTCATACCTCAAACTGCAGAGTATTTTTTCCCATTCAGGTTTTTCATGCTCTAACTGTGATATTATTTCCTTTTCTTCAGATAGTCTCTTTTGTAGTATACTAATCTTATTTTTCATTTTTTGAATTTTTCCTGTAAGTCGCTCACAGTGATTTTCTATTGATCTTTCACGTAAATAAATTGCATTTTTAATTTTTAATAGGTGAACACAATCTGTAAACAGGAAAAAAAAGGTAGAGATAAAATATATGAGTAGATTTTTTTATATAAAGGACTGTGCATTTTAACAAGCATTGATTCATATAGTGAACAAATATGTACATGCTGAATGCCTACAAGGTGGAAGACATTATAGTAAGCTCTGCAGATAAGACAACACCTCTGCTCTTGTTTTAGCTTAAAGTATAGTGAAGAACCAAGATAAAAGATGACAATTATAAACTTAGATAGGTACTGTGGAAAAAAAAAGACATAGTTATATGATTGTATAAGATAATTTGATCTATACTTCACCCAGGGAAGATTTCCCTGAGGAAGAGACGGCTATACTGAGAAATGAAGGATGAGAAGAAAATAGTCAGGCAAAGCGGAAAGCAAAGCATTCTGGCCAGTTTGCAGCATGTGATGAAGCTCTGCTGCAATCTGCTACTAGCCCTGATGGAGAACAGGTACTGATCTTTCTTCTTAACTGAAAAAATATAAAAACAAAACAGACAAAATACATTAAACAATTATTTTCAACACAGTGGACTTCAGGCAATGAAGATGGTAGGTGATCACTGAAAGGCAGAAAACAAATACAGCAGGCCTTACAAATGTCCCAGCTCTTCTAACAGAGTTTTGACGGAGGTTCCAGGCCATGACAGCGGGAGAAAATCTGACACAGAGCTGGGGTGATGAAGCTGAGAGGCTAGGAAAACTAAAGCAGATAGAGATGACAAGACAGAACACTGGAGAGAAGAAAGCAGTACAGGAAACAAATCCTGAAGACGTGCAGAGATTCCCATTTGAGTATTCAGTAGAGTAATGAAAAGTCCTTTTGTGCTAGGAAACTTCCTCAGAACAATAGGGAAAAAAAACTGCTTAAAGAAGATTATCAGAAACTATGCCTGGGGTTCACACCATGCCTGGAAGAGGGTCCATTCCCATGAGCCAGGCCAAAAAACCTCATACTTCACAGGACAATGAATAATCAGAAAGGTCTTGCCTCAGAAGTGAGGAATTACCCCAAATCTAAAAGCAAAAATGGAAAGATTATCTTAAGTAAATTGCTGTACTCCAAATAAAACTCAAGACAATAAGTGAAGGCATGGAAGCTATTAAAAAAAAACCCATATTTGTAGAGACACAAATTACATTTTCAGAGGTAAAAACTACAGTGGATGGAAATAAAGACAAATTAAGGATAACAAAGGAAAAGATTCCTAAATTTGACACGATAAACTGTGAGAAACTTTCAAGCAGCTAATATAGATAACTCCCCAAATAAAAAAGAAGGGACAGAAAAAAAATTAAAGAAAAAATGGACAAAAATGTTCTCGCCTTAATACAAACCATAATCCCACAGATTCAGGAAAGAAGTGTCTGAGACAGAAAAAAATGAAAGTGTATCATTGTCATCTTTTATACCATCTATGATGTATATTATTTGAAGGTGGACTGTGATAAGTTGAAATTATATACTAAAAATCCTAAAGTAAACATTAAGATAGCAAAACAGTTATCTCTAATAAACCCAAAAATATATAAAATTGAATCATAAAATATAGCTGACTGATCTAAAAGAAAGGAGAAAAAGAAGGGGAACAAATAACAGCTGGGACTAATGGCAATCAAACAGCATGATGACAGAAAAACGTAACTATATCAATAATCACATCATAAATGACACTTGTCTAAAACCCTCAACTCAAATGCAGACTGTCAGACTCAATAAGAAAGCAAACTACATGCTGCCTATAAGAAATGCACTTTAAATGTAAAGACACAAATTAGTTAGAAGGTTGGAAAAAGATACATGTTAACACTTGTCAGAGGCAGGTGAGCGGGAGTGGCTGCATTAATACCAAAGTAGATTGCATAGCAAAAAAAAAAAAAAAAAAAAAAAAAAAAATCCAGCAATACATAACAAAAGGTCATGTCACAATAGTAAAAGGATCAGTTAATGAGGAAAACATAACAATCTTAAGTGTTTATACCCCTAAAAACAAGCCAGCTTCAAAATGTATGAGGCCAAAGTGGATAGAATTACAAAAAGAAATAGACAATTTCTAAGTAATCTGAGGTTTCAATACCCTTTAGTCAATAAGTGATAGAACAAGAAGGCAGAAAAACAGTAAGAATAAACAGACTTGAACAACACTATGCTTTTCAAGTACCAATGGAACGCTTACCAAAATAGACTATATTTTAGGCCATACCATAATTCTCAATTAAAGGACTGAGTCAGAAGGACTGAAGTCATACAAAGTATATGCCCTGACCACAAATCAATCAGATTAAAGACCAGTAAGAAAAACAACTCTGAGAAACACTCAAATATTTGAAACTAAGTAACACACATCTAAATAATCCTGGGTCAAAGAGGTAATGAAAATAGAAATTAGAAAATATTCTGAACTGAATAAAAATGAAAATACAATGTGTCAGAATTTGTGAAATGCAGCTACAACTGTACCTGAATACAAATTTTAGCACTGCTGAATGTCTATATTAGAAGAGTCTCAAATCAATGACCCTGACTTCTACCTTAAGCAACTAGATAAAAGAAGAGGGAGTTAAACCCAAAGCAAGCAGAGGAAAGGAAATAATAAACATCTGCTGTGGTCTGAATGTTTGTGTTCCCCAAAATTTATATCCTGAAAGCCAATCACAGATGCGATGGTACTAGGAGGTGGGATTTTTATAGGTAGTTAGGTCATGAGAGCCAAGCCCTCATGAATGGGATTAGTGCTCTTATGCAACAGACCCCAGAGCTCCTTCAACCCTTCTGCCAAGTGAAGACACAGAGAAAAAGAATGTATCTGTGAACCAGGATGTGGTCCCTAACCATACAACAAATCCAACGCATCTTGATCTTGGACTTTGCAGACTCCACAACTGTGAGAAATCAACTTCCATTGTTTGACTCAATCTATGGTATTTTGTTATACTGTTGGCTTCAGAAGAAACCATAGAGAAAGTCAACAACACAAAACACTTTGAGGAGATCAATAAATGTGGTAAAACTCCATTTAGCCAGGCTGCTCAGAAAAAAGAAATAAAACAAATTACTAACTTTAGAAATAATGGGACATTATTACAGATTCTATAGATAGTAAAAATATAACAATATTATAATTTCTATGTAAATAAACATGACAACTTAGATAAAATTAATAAATTCCTTTAAAAATGAAAATTAGCAAGTCTCAATCAAGAAGCAGTAGAAAACCCGAATTTCCCGTATCTATAAAAGAAAGTTAAGTTATAACTGAAAACCTTCCTAAAAGAAAACTTCAGACCTAGCTAACTATGCTGGTGAATTCTCAAAACATTTCTGGCAGAAAATAATACAACTGTACAAAAACTACCCCTACCAAAAAACAAACAAACAAACAAACAAAACCAGAAGTATATCTCAACTCAGTCTGTAATGCTAGCTTTACTCTGAACCAAAACCAGAAAATGGTATTTCCAACGAGCAAATTCCCTCATGAACATGAATGTAAAACTTCAACCAATTTGTGATGCAAATAAGACATCCTCCAATAGCTGAGTGAATAAACTGTGGTTAAACAGCCATACAGTGGAATATCACTTTATGCAAAAAAGAAATGAGCAATCTATCTATGAAAATATGTGAAGGAACCTTAAATGCATATTACCTATTGACATAAGCTAATCTGGAAAGGCTACTTCATGTATGATTCCAACTGTATGACACTCAGGAAAAGGCAAAACTATGGATAAAGTAAAAAGGTGCCAAAGGGTGAGGGATGGCAGGAAAGGATACATAGGCAGAGTGCAGAGGATTGTACCTTTGTCCAAACCCACATATGTACAGTACCAAGCATGAACCCCAATGCAAATTATGGGCTTTGAGTAATTGTGATATGTCAATTTAGGCTCATCTATCAGAGCAACTACCACTATGGTGAAGGATACTGGTAATGAGGGCGGCTACATATGTGTTGGGGTGGGGGTTCAGACAAAAAAATGTCTGAACTTCCCTCTCAATTTTGCTGGGAACATAAAAATGGTCTAAAAAATAAAAATCTTTGTAATAAATTCTAAATGAGACTTTAGTAAATTGAATCCAACAGTATAATAAAAAGATAATACGTCATAAACAAATGAGGTTTATCCTAGAAATGTAGGTTTGGCTTAACATCAAAACATCATAATTATTTACCATATAACAAAGTAAAAGACCCACAGGATCACTCCAACAGGTAGAGGCATCTGATAAAATTCACTCCTGATGTTTTAAAGCAGAAAAACTCTCAAGAACATAAGAATCCAAGGGAACTTCTTCAGCATGATAAGCAGCAGGTATGATGAATATACAGCTAACATGTAGCATAGTGAAAAATGGAATGCATTTCCCATCAGATGAGGAACAACAAGTGAATGTCTGCTGTCACTACTCGTAGGTAGCATTGTTCTGAAGATTCCAGTTAATGCAGTCAGAAAAGAAAAATAAATAAGAGGCATCCAGGCTTAAAAAAAAAAAAAAAGAAAGAAAATTGTCTTTATACACAACCATGGCCATACAATAGGTATGGGTAAACCCCAACCTGTGGGCCAGCTTCTTGTCTGTGTCAACAAACTTTTATTGGAACCCAGCTGTATTCATTAATTTATAGACGGTCTATGGCTGCTCTCATACCACAATGGCAGAGTTTATGAGCTACAAAAGAGACCCCTTTGACAGAAGTCTAAAATATTTACCATCTTTAGTAAGAGGGTAGTTTGAGAAAGAAAGGTTTGACAACCTTTTGTCTATGTAGAAAACCTGATCAAATCTACCAAGAATGTGCCACAACTAATAAGTGAGTTTAACAAGATTGAAAGATACAAATTCAACATAGAAAAATCAGCTGTATTTCTATATGCTAGCAATAAACCATCAAATTAAAATTTTAAAACATTTTGAGTTTTATAAAAATGTATATTTAGATTAGTTTTGCTCAACCTGTATAAAGTCAAATATATCTACACTAACTAAACTATAATTCACAACTTCATCAAAAATGAAATACAGATAAATCTGATAAAATATGGAAAGATGTATAAAAACTAAAAAATATTACTGAGAAAATTACCTCTATAAAAGCAGACACACACTTTATCGAGGAACAGATTCACTACTGTTAAGACGTCAATTCTCCCCAAATTCACCTATAAATATGACACAATCCCAACCTAATTTCCAACAAGCAAGCAGTCTTTATTTTTATTTTATTGATAAGCTTATTCTAAAGTTCATGTGAAAATGCAAAGGATCTAGCATTGTCAAAACAGAATAAAATTAGAGGAATCATTTCAGGAATTACTATAAGTCAACAGTAACCAAAACAGTATGCCACAGGTACAGGTTGAGTATCCCTTATTCAAAATGTTTTGGACTAGTTTTTCAGATTTTGGATTCTGGAATATTTGCATAAGGATGGTGAGATATCTTGTGGATAGGACCCAAATCTAAACACAAAATACACTTATTTTTCATATATACCTTATATACAAAGACTGAAGGTAATTTTAAACATGACTTTTAATGATTTGGGGCATTAAACAACATTTGTATACATGAGGTCAGATGTGGAATTTTTCCACTGTGGCATTCATGTTGGCAATCAAAAAGTTTTGGGTTTTAGAGTATTTCAGATTTGGGATATTTAAATTAGTGATGCTCAACTTGTATAAAGAAAGTCAAATACAGACAATCCCCAACTTCAGGTGGTTTGACTATTGACTTTGCAATGGGTTTACCACAATTTGAGGAGCATCTGGAAATTAATAAAACTCAATAGAGAGTCCAGAAATAGATAACACATATGCAACCAGCTTATGTTTGACAAAGGCAGGATGGCAATGCAGTGGAGAAAGGGTAGCCTTTTCAACATGTGCTAGAACAACTGGATGTTCATATCCAAAAAGTGAACTTGAATCCATACCTTACTCCATCTGCAAAAGGAAACTGTAAATGGAGCATAGATTTACATATAAGACCTAAGTCTATAAAATTTCTAGAATAAAGCATAGGAAAAAAAGCTGTTTCCTTGCACTAGGCAAATATTTTTTACATATGACACAAAATGCGAAAACTGTAATTCAACAATTAAACAGGACTTAATCACGATTAAAACTTCTGCTCTTCAAAAGATACTACAAAGTAAGTGAAAGGTGAACCCCACACCTGGAAAAATAGCCTTATAAAAAAGTAGCTAAAAAGTTAACAGTATCCAAATACATACAGAATTACTAAAATTCAACAAGTAAGAAGACATCAACCTCATTTTTTAAATGGCAAAAGATTTGAAAAGACGGTTCACCAAAGAAGATGTACAGATGGCAAATAAACACATGGAAAGATGTTCAACATTTTTAGTCATGAGGGTTATGTACATTAAACCCATAATAATATGCATAATGCACACTCATCAGAATGGCTAAAATTTAAAAAGTAAATTTTTACTTTTTAAGTAAATACAGTAAGTAAATACAGCAGTAGTGTGACAACATGGCAAGCAAAATTGTGATTTGCTGTTGATGAGAAGAGAAAATAGTACAAATATTTTGGAAAAGCATTTTGCAGTTTTTAAAAACAGGAATATAAAGGGGTGTAAGGAGACTTTAGTGGGTGATGGATATATGTTAACTATCTTGATGGTAATAAGTTTCACAAGTGTATACATCTGTTAAAACTTATCAAATGGTACCTTTTACATGTGTGCACTTTATCACATATCAATTATATCACACTAAAGCTACTGATTATAGGAGCAAATACCTAAGGCACTGGCTGTGACACCGAGAAGGGAATGCAATGATGCAGTGTAAAGCTAGAGGATTGAGATCTATACCTTACTGCAATAAGTGGCAGCTGAGTTTTCAGCAAGCGGGTAACATGACGGTATTGATTTTTTACAACTATATAATTATGGTTGCAGAACAGGCCATGGTTTTGGAACGTGGAATAGTAGGAAGGACAGTTATAAGGTTACCACAGTATTTCAGGTGGGAGGAAATGGTAACCTGACCATGGGTAAATGGGTAAAGGCACACAAGAGAAGCAGAGTAAACAAACACATTGGGAGTGCCATTCACACTGATAAAGGAACAGTGAAATGATCATAGCTCTTTGGCTGAGAGTGTACAAGATACAGTAGTTCTCATTCTTAAGGCATATTTCTGAGATGAACATTCTTATAACATATTAGTACTCTATGGTACAGTGGTAAGCAGTGTGTGCATACATTGCTATAGAATAGAAAAAAGCCTCATGTTATGCATTATCCTACCTTTACACTGCATTCCATGTTGATCAATTAGTAATATAACTTTCTTAGAGGAAAGCGAGTCCTCACCCTCTGAGGCTATTTGAGATAACTCAATTATGTCATCAAGGTCATCCCTAAAATGTATTTGGTTTTTCATCTGAAAAATAAATAACAGTTTCAAAATGTCAATAGTTACAGCATATACTAAATGTACAGAAGTGGGAATTAATCAACTAGCACAAACACAGGTACTAGTTCTGCACTTTTTTTTTTTTTTGGCAATTTCCTTTATGTTGACACTTTTTCAAAAAGTCACATGGTATATGGATAAATTAGTTTCCCAGTCCCTATGCCATTTAGAAAACTGACAGTTGAGTTAATTAAGGAACAAGGATTAGGATAATGTCTTCCTGAGCTTGTATCATTTCAACTGCAGAAACAATCTATTCTACATACAGTAAGTATTTAGATAACCTCATTTTACACAAGAGATTTTCATAAATAAAAAATTCAAATTGATCAAATAATTGGTGAAGAGAAAAAAGAGCAGCATCAAGTGACCCTCTAAGTCTTTTTGAAGTTGAACTTTCTCCAAAGCCAGGAACTCTACTTTACCTGTAATATGCTTACCTCATTCTTAAATCTTTGCGTGTATCACTTAATTCCACTTCTAGACATACTGTTGATGTTTCGTCGCCATGTGGTGGAGAATGACGCACATTTTCTAATTAAAGTTTTATGCTTTTATACTTTTTTTGCACTACAGTTGTCATATAATGGCTTCTGGAACAAATTCTATATTGGTTTTGTATCGTTGTGTTTGTAACAACAAAAACACTATGATCTTTTTGTTTTTTTTTTTACTCTCACATGCTTCATTTCTTTGAAGCAGGTAAGCCACATATCTAAAAGGCTTTTTGAATCACTAAACTGAGGCATATGTCTGATGTTTAATTTCCAATTAGTGGTATTTTGGTTCTTATTTTTTTGTCATTTGCCTAACAACCTATTAGTCTTCTTTTATTTCAACCATAACTACTTCTTGGTATCTTGCTTTTGTATTTTTTGTATCATTATAGCAATTTTCCTGGTCTGGGTTAAAAACACGTTCAGTATCTGGTTTGTGGTCATTTTCACAGTCTACTTTAATTTCTATTTAAATAAAGCTTAGAAGGTGACTGGCAAGCATATTCTGGGGACCCAGAGTATGAATGAGATAGAAAGGCATTTTTGAGACTGGGTTATTTTTGTTCAGGAAATATCTGGACTACTATAGAGACAGACATGCCAGACACATCACTCTTCTGACAATCAGGTGAATCATTTGTCAAATCTGAGGGTATTTACTTAAGTTTGTTCTTCCTGTAGAATTACCATGTAGTCACTCTTCCTCAGTACAAGCAGTTTTGTAATTTTCACCAAACTCTGCTTTAATTTATTTGTGATGAATTTTAAAGCTTTTTTCACCCTAATTTGTCTTGTTTGATCCACATTCTATCATACTTCTGCATACAAGAAAGTCCTGCATATATAAAGAAGTCCTTTCTATCACAACACTTTTTCACTGCTAGTTGTTGAGACAATTTTTGCACATGCAAAAGTGGAAGAGTAATTTGCTAGTTTTGTTTCTCAGATGACTTTTCTGAGTGTATGTTTTCAAAATAACTTTAAATAATCAAGTGTAAAAAGAGAAAAATTAAAAAATAATTAGAATTTAATATTAAACTTCTTAATCTATGTTTACCTACTCCCAAATCACTGGATTGTAACTAAGAAGTGAAAAATAATTCGGAATAGCCTAAAATAGGTGAAAAACACAAACCATGAAACTTTAATTTGTCACTGTTTGTTTGGGCTAAACTTGACTAATTCATTATGTGTTAAATTTACCAAAAATGAATTAGGAGATGACCTGTGGTACTACAAAGGCACCACCACTTAAAAAGATTTTATCACTATACCTACAGTGTACACTTGAGTGTTTTTCCAAACATTACTAAATGATTAGGCAAACTTTAAATTATTAGGAGCCAAAATCAACACCAGTAAGAAAAGCAAATTCTTACATTTTAATGCTAATTATGTATTGTAATATGATTGACAGTGTTATATGTTTATATAGATTATAGGCTTAAGTTATAAGGTCCACTAATCACAGTGGATTTAATAATATTTACAGATTTCCTATACTGAAATATATCAGGAAGTTATTGTTTGTACCCTAATGCCAAAGATGCCATTCTGCAAGATATGATTCTCTTGATAGACAGCTGAGTTGACTTTATGATCCATTCTCTTCCTGAACATAGTAGCTAAAGTCGGAGATCACAAGGGAAAATAAATCTTAACTTTGGCATGACTGGCAATAAAAAAAAAAAAACTGCAAAGTTTGAACCACTAGCAAGAATTACTCCTTTAGAATCCAATAAAGCGGTCATCAGTGTTAAATTGTTCATAATTTCTATTGCTTCAAATTGCAATTCAATATTTGATGTACCTTTTTTATTATAGTAAGTTATAAAAATAGAAGTGCAAACAATATCAGGAACTTTCAATTCCAAGAGTAAAGATTAGATATGTTACTATAGATTCCAACACTATTTTGAGTTTTATAACTAGTTAAAATGTTTTTTAAATGGAATATCAAATTATAATCAACTGATAATAAAAGGCTAATCCAAAGGTAAATTCACTTGGAGTATGCTGTATTACCAAAGCAAGGAAAATAAGATTAAACCAGATATTTGACTTTAAATTTTTACATACCCATGGCTGGTTATATTCATATTCTTCAAACCTCTTTTGCTCTCCCTCTGATGCCATTTCTAAGTCTTGTTCTGCTAAAAAAAAAATTATATATTTAGTTAAAATAAGCTACACAGAACATTTAGATAAAAGTCATAGTCTTTCTAAAAATAGAAAATAAAATTTTTATTTTATAAATTCGAGTTTAAATGAAGCTTAATCTTTAGTATCATATTTACTTCTTTAAGAAATGCTTTTAATCCTCCAAAACTTCAGCAAACCACTTGGGGAGGCATTAGATGTCAACAGGCTCGAGCCATACAAACATAGCCAAAGATTCACTCAGAAATTCATCCACCCAGCCGGGCGCGGTGGCTCAAGCCTGTAATCCCAGCACTTTGGGAGGCCGAGGTGGGTGGATCATGAGGTCAAGAGATCGAGACCATCCTGGTCAACATGGTGAAACCCCATCTCTACTAAAAATACAAAAAATTAGCTGGGCATAGTGGCACGTGCCTGTAATCCCAGCTACTCAGGAGGCTGAGGCAGGAGAATTGCCTGAACCCGGGAGGCGGAGGTTGCAGTGAGCCGAGATCGTGCCATTGCACTCCAGCCTGGGTAACAAGAGCGAAACTCCGTCTCAAAAAAAAAAAAAAAAAAAAAAAAAAATCATCCACCCAACATCAATGAATAAAACCATCAGAAATAAAACAAAAGGTAAAAATCCAATAAAAACAGATAAAGTAACAGTACACTGTTCTTTACTTCATAATAGTACCTTTATAACAACACGCTGAGCCTGCTGTTCATTATTAATGATTTCCAAAATGACTGCTACTGTTTACACTTTCATCAATGTGCAGTCTCTTCTTTATATCCTAAATATTTTCCTCAACTATTCTGATGAATTTCTTTCATCTTTCTTAAAAGATGAAAGACTCAGACAGCTATGTGAAGTATTCCTTGATTCTGGCTATCTTTCCTCAGATAAACAGTTTTATTTAATATAGGTTTTAAAACATACATAGTTAAGATTTCAAAAGTCTCAACTAACTATAATTAAAATAGAAGAGTGTATCTATTCCAATGTAAACATGCTGACTGATAATGAGAAAAATGATCTTTAATAAGAATAGCAAATCATGATCCTGAGAGAATAAGTGTCAAAGCTGATGGGAGGATGCTATGGCCTGTCTTTAATGTAATTCATCAGGTTCAATTATACCATTACGCTACAAGCACTTCTTATTTTCCACTATTTTTCCTATTATTTAGGAAGTACAAAGTTGTGAGGACACTTCCAATAAATATATAATTTATTTCTCATCTAAGAAACTGTTTAAAATTACTCAGCTTAGATAGACAGAATAACAATAGAACTATTCATTTGTTTTTCATTCTTGGGTGGGCTACTACTATATTGCTCATATCCTATAGTTTGGCCCTGTCAAAAAGTTTCTTGATCCACTCATGCAAGAAGACTTTTAAAAACATCAAAATAGTGTATAATAAGCTTTCAATGTGTAAATAATAGTCAAAAATGAAAAATTTAATTTAAAGACATTAATGACTTTTTATACTTCAAAATCAGTGCAATATTCACTGAATATATCAGCTTTGTTTTTCAAATAATGAATGCTGTAACTTTTTGTTTCTAAAATTAACTTGATTTGATGTATCATGCTTATCTCTAAGGTACTTACATGGAATTGCGATCTTATTAAAAAATAGGTTTCTTAATAAACTCAAAGTTTCTTAGTTCAAATACATTTAATTTGATTAATATCAAAACTTCTATATAACTTTCATGAATTACTCCCACCCCTTCTTTCCTCTTTATTTAACAGTAGTATCTTACATGTATAATTTCTATTTCCTAAATTTTTGTTCCTTCCCCTCTGGCTAGAATGATGCTCAGAAATAATAGCAAAATGATACTTTTGCTTTGACTCTGTTATGTTTTGAACTGCTATCAGATGGTAAACAGGTATATGGAAAGGTTTTCAGCATCTCTAATCATTACAGAAATGCAAATCAAAGCTACAGTGAGGTATCTTCTCACCTCAGTTAAAATGGCTTTTATCCAAATGACAGGCATTAAGAAATGCTGGTGAGGATGTGGAGAAAGCGGAATCCTTGTACACCATAGGTGGCATTGTGAATTAGTTACAGCCACTATGGAGAACAGTATACAAAAAATTAAAAATACAACTACCCACTTTATCCAGCAATCTCATTGCTAGGTAACTATTCAAAAGCAAGAAAATCGGTATTATAAAAGAGAAATCTGCCCTGACGTGTTTATTGCAGCACTTCTCACAATAGCCATAATTTGGAATCACCCTACGTGTACATCAACAGACAAATGGATTTAAAAAATATGATACATATACTGCTCAGCCATACGAAAGAATGAGATCCTCTCATTTGGAATGACATGGATGGAACTAGAGGGCATTATGTCAAGTACAGGTATTGATCGACTTATGACCTATGCAACTTAAGACCATTCGACTTTATGACCACAATCACTAGCCATGACTGCTCCGCGTCTGGCAGTGCAAACGTTGCCCAGCTGGGCGTACAACAGTGCGGACCAGCTTCCGGCAGCACTACCATCTCCGCATGCACCGTTTCAACTGTTATCCCAGACTTGGTACAGCAATTTGTGTTTTTGTGTCTTGGATATTTTTCATCAAATCCCTCCCAAGATGTCTACCAAGAGGAAATTGTCTTTGTCTATGCCTCAGCCTGCCAAGAGGCTTAAATATCTGACTTAAAGATTTTTATAACATCATTTCATAGTACTGTACATATAGCCTACTCAACTTATGACCAAATCGTGTTACGACCGTTCTGTCGGAACCAATCGTGGTCGTAAGTCAAGCACTAGCTGTAAAATAATCCAGGCAAAGAAAGAAAAGCTTCACATGTTCTCACTCCTTTGTAGGTGTGAGAAATTTAAAAAAACAGAACTTATGGAGATGGAGAATAAAATCAACATTACCACAGTATAGGAAGGGTGCGAGGGTGGTAGGAAATGAGGATGCTTAGTAAGTACAAACTATAGTTAGATACAATAAATAAAATGTAGCATTTTATAGTACAAAAACATGACTACCATCAGCAATAACTTGTACATTTTAGCATTACTGAGGGAGTCAAAATTAAAAGACAGCACAAAGAAATTGTGAATGCTTGAGGTGATGAATAACCCATTAACCATGATGTGATTATTACACATTGTATGCCTCTATCAAAATATCTCATTTACTCCATAAATATTAGCTCATACAATTTACACATTAAAATTAAAAACAAAAATATATATATAAAGTAACACACACACATACACAGACACACACTGTGCTTATCAAAACATCTGATTAGCTTAATATAATAAGGGTAACAAAACAGACCAGAACCTATAAAAGTTAAATATATTACCAAGTAAAACATTTCATTAGATAAAAACCATACTTCGAATTGACTTTTAAAGCAAAACAAATATTTTAGAGTATCAAAATTGATCTCTTTAAATTGCTAAAAAACTATTGAAATTCCAAATCGAAAACTTCAGAGTATCCAAATGTAAAAGTAAAAACATCTGAATACACCCTTATTTTTCAGGTTGTGTGTGGTGGCAGCTAACTCCTGTGATCCCAGCACTTTGGGAAGCCAAGGCAGACGGATTGCCTGAGGTCAGGAGTTCAAGACCAGCCTGACCAACATGGAGAAACCCCGTCTCTACTAAAAATACAAAATTAGCCAGGCGGGGTTGTGCATGCCTCTAATCCCAGCTACTCAGGAGGCTGAGGCAGGAGAATCCCTTGAACCCAGGAGGCAGAGGTTGCAAGATTAGGCCATTGCACTCCAGCCTGGAAAACAAGAGTGAAATTCCATTCAAAAAACAACACAAAACCTTATATTTCTAAAATGTATTTTCCTTATGTGTGTAAATCTCATTTTTAAAAACATAAAAATGATAACAGCTACGTTATTTATATGAAATCCTGAAATAAAACATAAAAAGAAAAAATAATTGAGAATGAAAAGACTATGAGCATTACAAATAGATTAATGTACTTCTTTCCAGAGTTAAATTTGCATTGCAAAGTTTACCTGGCAAGGGTGTGTGTACATCCTTCATTTCAGTGGCTATATTCAGAACAGAATCTTTATTTTCACTTGTAACCTGAATGGGCTTTAAAACAAAATGATTAGCACATGATATATGTTGTATAGGATATGATGTTAATAATTAAAAATGTAAGAGTAATTACCTTCAAGGTGGGAAGATTTTCAGGATATTCTAACAAGCAAAAAAAATATATATAATCAATCATATGTGAATACGGTAAGGCCAATCATACATTCATGGAGTGTTAGCATCAAACTAAATATTCTTGCTTGTGTTAGTGTAGGATTTCATGTTTTTCTAGTTTATTTCTTTGATACAGTAACATGACAGAAATACACTGAAGAAAATAAGAATACAGGCTTCAAAAAACATATAGTTACAAGTTAAAAAGTGAGATTATCCACCATGTTTATCGGAAAAAAAAGTATTGAGTATTGATATCAATGTGGATATGCTAATATGAGAAAAGTGATCTAAAATCAGAGGAGCAACTGATACACCTGGGAATCAATGTCAAAGCAGGTGGTACAAACTCCTGCACATCTTTCATGCAAGACATCAGAAGGATTTATACCATTATACTACAAATATTCATCATGCTCTTTAACTTGCCCAATAACTGAGAAGATACATAATTACAATGACACTTCAGTTGAGTGTACACTTCACATCTCTTCAGTGGAAGCGTCCTGAATTGAGCAGTTTGGATATATGTTTGGTGAATCCTAGTAGATAATATTCCTTCTTTATCATAACCATGTGGTGTAATAATGTGCCTACATTTCTTGTATACTGTAGTTTAGCCTTCTGAAAGTTTCTTCATCCACTCATAGCAAGAAGGTAAAATATATAAACCCCATTTAAAAGTACAATAAATTATACACACTTATACGAAATGGAATTGCTATAGGCATTAGATATTAATAACCTTTTATATTTGGAAATCAGCACAATATTCATTGAAAGTAACCATTTTAGGATTCAGTTAACTCATTCAACATTACTTTTCTCTAAAATTAGTCTGGTTTAGAGTATCACTTTAATCTATAAAGAAATTTCATTAAATAGCTATTTTAATAAAAAAGCTAGCAAAAAACCTAATCTATTCATATTAAATTTTAACTCATTTGAATAACTAATAAAAATGTATCTCTGATGTCTGATAGTAATAAACAGGAATAATGAGTCACTGTGGTTGATCCCAATTCTATACTCCTTACAGATTCCAGCAGTCATTGGAGAAGGCAGAAATCAAATCTTCTGGCATGCAAATATTCTAAATACATCTGAAGTGAGTTCACCCAGGTTTCCTCAGCAGAAGCCCCAAATTACCTAAAAAACTTATTCCTTCCCCTCTTTCCTGCCTTGTAATCCCTCTTTCTTGATGAAATTAATTACTACATTGGTGGTCACATTGCTTTTCATTCTACAGTGTTTATGGGTTATTATGACAACTTCTTCCCTCTGGTTTTAGCAGTACCATCAGACATCTATAATTTCTATTACTTTGTCTCTTTCTCCTTCCCCTCTCCATAGGAACATGCTATGAAATAAGAGCAAAATTATGATGTCCCCTGATCCTCTTATGTCTTGAACTGCTTTCCAGTGGTTCTTCTTCCCAATTTCAACGTACAGAAGTCTATAACCTGGCTATTCAGATCATGGCCAAGGACCAGCAACATCAGCATCACCTGAGAACGTACTAGAAATGCAGAATCTCAGGCCTGCTGAATCACAATGTGCATTTTCAAAGAGCCCCCTGCTGATTTATTCAGGGAAGTTCTCTTCTATCTTGAGTGCAGATGACATTAAATATGTATTGCTAAATTACCTGCTCCAGATTTTTCAACAACCGTTATTCCTGTGGCAAAATTTGAAATAGAAACTTTCTTTTTAATTATAGCCTGAATGGAATGAGAAACAAAATAATCAATACATTAATAGATACTTCATAGATTATATAATTAGTAATTCAAAATATAAATGAAAGAGTAATTACCTTCCAGGCTGGTTGTTTCTGAGAAGACACTGAAAAGCAAAATGGATATATAGTCAATCATATGTAATTATGATAAAAACCAACCATACATTAATGCAGTGTTAGCATCAAGCTGTATCCTCCTGCCTGTACTGAAGCAGATGAGGGCAGAAAAACAAATTTTCCTCCTTTCCTTTGGTATAAGCAAACTTCCCTGAGTCCTTCCCCCTCCTGTGGAACTGTACCCTGCTCTGCAAGTTTTATGAGTTTATAGATTCTTGTATTCTTGTTCTCTATATCTAATAACTGCAAGTTTCTGTTTTTCATCTGAGCAGCACAGTGAAGGTCATGAGATATGTCTGAGCAGGTCTGGATTGCAGCCATCTAGGCGCCATAGCAAAGGATGCAAGATAAGCTTGTGTGAGGCTCTTCAGCAACCTAGATAATGGCCATCTAGGTCACACAGAAAAAGTCATATGTAAGCCTGAGTTATAGGCCTGTCACTGCTTACTAAACTGCCTTTGTTCTGCTCTTGTATTTTGTGTATAAAAGTCAAGCCCTGTCTTTGTTCAGAGCTCAGACTTTGAATGCAAATCTGCTGAACTGGTGCACACCTTAATGAAATCCTCCTGTTCCACCAATTGGTCTCTCTGGTCTCCTGATTCCCATAACAGTACTAGTGTAGAATTTGATGTTTTATAGTTTATGTCTTTGGGACAGGAACATGAGGAAGTATACAGAAGACAATAGGAATACAGGCTTCCACAAAATATACAGTTATAAAATTACAAAGAGATATTATGCATCATATGTATATTACCAAAATAAAAAGTATCAGTATCAATGTGGATATGCTGAGCAATGAGGACCAATGTGATCTAAAATCAGAGGAGCAACTCATACACCTGGGAATCAATGTCAAAGCAGATGGTACATACTCCTGATGTCTTTCATGAAAGACATCAGAAGGATTTATACCATTATACTACAAACATTCATCATGCTCTTTAACTTGCCTGATAACTGAAAAGATATACAATCACAATGACACTTTGGTTGAACGTACACTTCATGATTCTTCAGTGGAAATGTCCTCAATTGATCAGCCTGGATATATGTTTAGTGAATCCTAGCAGATAATATTCATTATTTTTCATACCCATGTGGTGTAATAATGTGCCTACATTTCTTGTATCCTGTAGTTTAGCCTTTCTGAAAGTTTCTTCATCCACTCATGACAACAAGGTATAATATAAAAACCTCAAGAAAAAGTATCATTATTGAATTTGACATATTTCTACAAAATAAAACTCCTATAAAGATTAGTTATTAACAAGCTTTTACATTGGAAAATCATTTCAATATTCATTGAAAAAAACATTTTAAGAGTCAATTAATAAATTCAACATTATTGTTGTTTCTAAAATAGTCTTGTTTAAAGTATCATGTTATTCTCTAAGGAATTTTCATTAAATAGCTATTTTATCCAAGAGTTAGCTCCTTGAACAAAGAAGACAATATATTCATATTCAAATTTATCTAATTTGTATAACTAAAATCAACAAAACATGTATTTCTGATGCCTAATAGTAATATAGAAGAGTAATAAGTCAGGGTGGTTAATCCCAATTACGGCACTTTTCCCTGCTTCAAGTCATTCCTGGAGCAGCCAAAATCAAATCTTCTTATATGTAAATATTCAAAATGATTCTGAAATGAGTTTATTCAGGTTTCCTCAGCAGATATCCCAAAATTAAATAAATAACTTCTTTTTTTCCCTCCTTCCTGACTCACATTTCCTCTTCCTTGACAAAAATAATTACTACATCAGTGATCTCCTTAGTTCTCATTCTATAATGTTTGTGTGTCATTACAATCACTTCTTCCATCTAGTTCTAGCAATACGATCTGGTGCCTACAATTTCTTTCACTTCATCTCTTTCTCCTTTCCCTGTTTATGAAAACATAGCTGTAGATGTAAAGCAAATTACACTGCTGCTGAGACTGTTATGTCTTGAACTGCTCTCTGATGGTTCTTCTTTCCAATTACAATGTAGAAAAGTCTATAATCTTACTATTTAGATCATGGCCAAGGAACAGCAGCACCAACATCTCCCAAGAATCTCAGGCCTGCTGAATCAGCATGTACAGCTTCAATGAGCCCTCCGCTGATTTATTTTGGGGAAAAGTCATTCTCTTCTATCTTGAGTAAACATGACATTAATTGTGAATTGCAAAATTACCTGTCTCAGATTTTTGTCCATCCTTTATTTCTGTGGCTATATTCGAAACAGAATCTTTCTTGTCAATTGTAGCCTGAATGGGATGTAAAACAAAATAATCAAAACATAAAATATATTTCATAGACTATAAATTTAATAGTTCAAAATATAAATGAGAGTGTAATTACCTTTAAGGCCAGCTGTTTCTGAGAATACACTGAAATCAAAAGGGATATGTAATCAATCATATGTAAATATAATAAAGGTATCCAAGTATTCATGTAGTGTTAGCACCAAGCTGTATCCTCCTGTCTTTATTAATGAATGCTTAGATGTTTTAAACTTGGTGTCTTGAAACAGGATCATGACAGAAATACACTGAAGAAAACAGATATAAAGGCTTCATGAAATATAAACTTTCAATTTCAAAAGTAGTAATATTTTGCATGTCTATTACTACAATAAAAACTTGTTATTATCAATGTAGATATGCTGAGTAATGAGGACCAATGTAATGTAATATCAGAGAGGCAACTCATACACCTGGGAATCAATGTCAAAGCAGATGGTAAAGGCTCCCGCATGTTTTTCATGCAAGACATCAGAAGGATTTATACCATTATACTACAAATATTCATCATGCTCTTTAACTTGCCTGATAATTGAGCAGGTACAAAATGATAATGACACTTTAGTTGAATGTACACGTCACAACTTCTCAGTGGAAGTGTCCTGAATTGATCAACTTATATATATGTTTGATGAATTCTACTATATAATATTCTTTATTTCCCATATCCATGTGGTGTAATAATGTGACTACATTTCTGGCATCCTCTAGTATAGCCTTCAGAAAGTTTCTTCATCCACGCGTGGCAAGAATACATAATACATAAACCTCATCAAAAAGTATGATAAATTATCAAATTTGACATACTTATACAAAATAAAGTTACTACAAGCATTAGATATGAGGAAGCTTTACATTTAGAAATCACTCCCATATTCATTGAAATAAACATTTTAAGAGTCAATTAACGAATTCAACATTATTTTTATTTCTAAAAAGTTCTGGTTTGAAGTGTAATGTTGTTCTCTAAAGCATTTTCATAAATTACTTTTTAATCCAAAAGTTAGCTCTTTGAAAAAAAAAAAGCCAATGTATGCATATTCATGTTTATTCCATTTGAATAATATCAACAAAACACATATCTCTGATGCCTAAGAGTAACACAGAAAAGTAATGAGGCAGGGTGGTTTATCCTATTTCAAGCACTCTTTCCTGCCTTCAGTAGCTCCTAGAGAAGTCAAGATCAAATATTCTTTTATGAAAATATTCTAAGTGCATCTGAAATGAGTTCACTCAGGTTTCCTCAGCAGAAACCCCAAAATTACATAAATAACTTTTTTTCCCCTCCTTGCCTCACAATCTCTCTTCCTTGAGGAAAATAATTATTACATCAGTGGTCTCTTTAATTCTCCTTCTACAGTGTTTATTGATTGTTAGGATCACTTCTTCCTTCTGGTTTTAGCAATATGATCTGACGCTTATAATTTGTTACTTCGTATCTTTTCATTTTTTCCCTCTTGAAGAAAACATGCTGTAGAATTAAAGCAAAATTATGCTGCCCCTGAGCCTGGTATGTCCTGAACTGCTCTTTAATGGTTCTTCTTCCCAATTTCATGTAAAGAAGTCTGTAAGCTTACTACTCAGATCATCGTCAAGGACCAGCAGCATCAGCATCAGCTAAGAACTTATTACAAATTCAGAATCTCAGGCCTGCTGAACCAGAATGTGCAGCTTCAGTGAGCCCTCCACTAATTTGTTCATGGAAGAGAAGTTCTCTTCTATCTTGAGTGAACATGACATTAACTATGTATTGCAAAATTACCTGTCCCGGATTTTTGTACATCCTTTGTTTCTGTGGCTATATTCGAAACAGAGTCTTTCTTGTTACTTGTAGTCTAAATGGGATTTGAAACAAAATAATCAATACAAAAAGTATATTTCATAGACTATAAGAGTTAATACTTCAAAACATAAATGAGAGTACAAATACCTTCAAGGCCAGTTGTTTCTGAGAAGACTCTGAAAAAAAAGGTATACATAATCAATCATAAGTAAATATGATAAAGTTAACCACACATTCATGAAGTGTTTGCAACAAGTTGTATTTTCCTGCCTGTATTAGAGTTGACTTTGATGTTTTATACTTTGTGTCTTGGGACAGGAACTGACAGAAATACACTGAAGAAAACAGGAGTATAGTCTTTACAAAATATACACTTCCAATTTCAAATGTAATCTTATTCTTCACATGCATTACTTTAAGAAAAAAAGTGCCATCATAAAGGTGGATATGCCAAGTGATGAAGTAAAATGTAATCTAAAATCAGAGGAGCAACTCATACATCTGAGAATCAATGTCTACATACTACTGCATGTTTTTCATGCTAGACATCAGAAGGATTTATACCATTATACTACAAATATTCATCATGCCCTTCTACTTGCCTGATAATTGAGCAGGTGCACAATGACTATGACACTTTAGTTGAATGTACGCTTCACAACCCCTCAGTGGAAGTGTCACAGAATGATCAGCTTAGATATGTTTGGTGAATTCTAGTATATAATATGCTTTATTCATCACACCCATGTGGTGTAACAATGTGCCTACATTTCTTGTATCCTCTAGTATAGCCATCTGAAAGTTTATTCATTGACTCATGGCAAGAAGGCATAATATGTAAATCATCAAAAAGTAATAATAAATTATCAAATTTGACATACTTATACAAAATAACAGTGCTACAAGCAATTATGAGGAAGCTTTTACATTTGGAAATCACTGCGATATTCATTGAAAATAACCACTTTAGGAGTCAACTAATGAATTCAACATTATTTTTGATTTTAAAATAATCTGGTTTGAAGTAGCATGTTATCCCTTAAAATTTTTTCATTTAATTGCTATTATATACAAGAGTTAGCTCCTTGAAAAACAAAACCAATGTATGCAATTCACCTTTACCTCATTCTAATAACTAATATCAACAAGGCATGTATATCTGATGCCCAATAGTAACAAACAGGAGTAATGTGTCAGTGTAGTTTATCCAATTCTAGCACTCTTTCTTGCTTCCAGTAGTTCCTGGAACAGCCAAAACCAAATCTTCTTTTATGCAAATATTCTAAATGCATCTGAAGTGAGTTCACTTAGGTTTCCTCAGCAGGAACCCCCAAATTAAATAAATAACTTCTTCTTTTCCCTCCTTCCAGCTTCACACACCCTCTTCCTTGAGAAACATAATTACTACATCAGCAGCCTCTAGTTCTCATTCTACAGTGTTTATCATTTATTATGATCACATCTTTCCTATGGTTTGAGCAATACAATCTGACAACTATAATTTCTATTACTTAATCTCTTTCTCCTTCCGCTCTTGATGAAAACATACTGTAGAATTAAAAAAAAAATTTATGCTGTCCCCTGAGCTGCTTATGCCTTGACTGCTCTCCAATGGTTCTTCTTCTCAATTTCAAAGTAGGGAAGTCTATAATCTTACTACTCGGAACATGGCCGAGGAACAGCAGTATCAGCATCACCTGAGAACTTATTACAAATGCAGAATCTCAAGGCCTGTTGAATCAAAATGTGTAGCTTTAATGAGCACCCTGCTGATTTATTTGGGGAGGGGGGAAGTTCTACCTTGAGTGATCATGACATTAAATGTGTATTGCTAAATTACCTGCTCCAGATTTTTGCCCATCTGCTGTTCCTGTGGCTATATTCGAAAGAGAAACTTTCCTTTTAAACAGAGCCTGAATGGGATGATAAATAAAGTAATCAATATATAATGTATATTTGATAGACTATATAGTTAATATTTTTAAATATAAATGAAAGAGTAATTACCTTCCAGGCAGGTTGTTTCTGAGAAGACACTGAAAAGCAAATGGGATACATAATCAATCATACGTAAATATGATAAAGTTATCAGTACATTCATGCAGTGTTACCATCAAGCTGTATCCTGCTGCCTGTATTAGTGTAGGCTTTGATACTTTATACTTTTTGTCTTGGGACAGCAACATGACAGAAATACACTGAAGAAAACAGGAGTACAGTCTTCAAAATTTATACACTTACACTGTCAAATGTGATATGATTTGTCATATGTCTAAAACTCAAATAAAGCAGTTTCAGTATCAATGTGGATATGCCGAGTGATGAGGACCAATGTGATCTAAAATCAGAGGAGCAACTCATACACCTGGGAATCAGTGTCAAAGAAGGTGGTATATACTCCCACATACCTTTCATGCAAGACATCAGAGGGATTTATACCATTATGCTACAAACATTCATCATGCTCTTTAACTTGCAAAATGAGAAAGCACACAATTGTGATGACACTTCAGTTGAACATACACTTCACGTCTCTTCATTCAAAGTGTCCTAAATGGATCAGCTTCGATATATGTTTGGTGAATCCTAGCAGATAATTTCATTATTTCTCAGAACCATGTGGTGTAACAATGTGCCTACATTTCTTGTATCCTGTAGTTTAGCCTTCTGAAAGTTTCTTCATCCACCCATGGCAAAAAAGTATAATATATAAACCTTAATGAAAAGTATCATCAATTATCAATTTTGACATACTTTTACAAAGTAAAACTAGTACAAGCATTAGATACTAATAAGCTTTTACATTCAAAAATCACTCCAACATTCATTAAAAAGAACCCTATTAGGATTTGAATAATGAATTCAACATTAGTTTTGTTTCTAAAATAGTCTTATCTGGAGTACCATGTTATTCTCTACAGAATTTTCATTAAATACCTATTTATACAAGAGTTAATTCCTTGAACAACAAGCCAATGTATTCGTATTCAAGTTTATCTCATTTTTATAACTAAAATCAACAAAATATGTATCTATGATGCCCAATAGTAACAAGGAGAAGTAATGAGTCAGCATGGTTTATCCCAGCTCTAGCACTCTTTCCTGCTTCCAGTAGTTCCTGAAGTAGCCAAAATAAAATCTTCTTTTACATAAATATTCTAATGCTTCTGAAGTGAGTTCACTAGGTGTCCTCAGTAGAACCCCAAAATTACATATATCACTTCTTCTTTTCCCTCCTTCCTGCCTCACAATCCCTCCTCCTTGAGAAATATAATTATTACATCAGTGGTCAATGTAGGGAAGTCTATAATCTTACTTCTCAGATAATGGCCAACAACCAGCAGTATCTGTATCACCCAAGAAATGCAGAATCTCAGGCCTGCTGAATCAGAATGTGCAGCTTGAATGAGCCCTCCACTGATTTATTAATTGAAGATAAGTTCTCTCCTATTTTGAGTGAACATGACATTAGCTGTGTATCACAAAATTACCTGTCCCAGATTTTTTTCCATCCTTTATTTCTGTGGTTATATTTGAAACAGAATCTGTCTTGTCACTTGTAGCCTGAATAGGAGTTGAGGCAAAAAAATCAATACATAAAGTATATTTTATAGACTATAAAAGTTAATAGTTCAAAACAAAAATGAGAGTATAATTACCTTCAAAGCCTGTTGTTTCTGAGAAGAATCTGAAAAAAAGGAATACATAATCAATCATAAGTAAATATGATAAAGTTATCCATACATTCATGAAGTGTTTGCAACAAGCTGTATTTTCCTGCCTGCATTAGTGTAGGCTTTGATATTTTAGACTGTGTGTCTTGGAACATGACAGGTACATACTATAGAAAACAAGATTACAGTCTTATGTAAGTATATTTTTCTTACAAAAGATATACTTCCAACTTCAAATGTAATATTATTCTTCATATGTCTATTATGACCAAAAAAAGTGTCATTATCAACGTGAATATGCCGAGTGATTAGGTAAAATGTGATCTAAAATCAGAGGAGCAACTCACACCTGGGAATCAACATCAAAGCAGGTAGTACATACTCCCACTTATCTTTCATGCAAGACATCAGAAGGATTTATGCCATTATACTACAAACATTCATCATGCTCTTCTACTTGCCTGAAATTGAGCAGGTACACAATGACAATGACACTTTAGTTGAATGTACACTTCACAAGTCGTCAGTGCAAGTGTCCCAGATTGATTGGCTTGGATGTGTGTTTGGTGAATCATAGTATATAATATGCTTTATTTCTCATACCCACGTTGCGTATGAACATGCCATTACCAAGGTAGTTCACGATTACCGAGGCAATCTGCCATTACTGAGGCAATCCACCACTACTAAGGTAGACCACCATTACTGAGGCAGTTCTAACTGTACCGATGTTAACAAAACTGCAAGGAAGTTCACACAGCAGCTGGCAGAACCCATGGCAGCTCAGCAACATCTCTGCTGGCAGACTGTGACTAGACTACCTTCTTGCTGGGAAGGGCATCTCTGAAAAAAGGCAGCAACATGTCTGAAACTTACAGATAAAGCCCCACCTTCCCAGTACAGAGCACCTTGGAAGAGAGGAGGTTTTAATTTCCACTACAGTAGACTTAAACATACCTGCCCAGCAGCTCTAAATGGAACAACGGAGCCCCAGCTCAGCACTTGAATTCCTATAAAGGACAGACTGTCTCCTCAAGCAGCTCCCCAACCCCTGTATATCCAAAGAGATACATCATAAAGGAGAGCTCAGGCTGACATCTGGTGAGTATCTTCTGGGACGAAGATAACAGAAGAAGAAACTAGCAGCAAGACTTACTGTTCTGCAGCCACCACAGGTGATCCCCAGGACAGCATGGTCTCGAGTGGACCTCCAGCAGACCTACAGCAGAGAGGCCTGACTGTTAGAAGGAAAACTAAAAAACAGAAAGCAATAACTTCAACATCAACAAAAAGGATGTCCACTCAGAGACCCCATCTGAAAGTTACCAACTACAAAGACCACAGGTAGATAAATCCATGAAGATGGGAAGAAACCAGTGCAAAAACGATGAAAACACCCAAAACCAGAATGCCTCTTCTCCTCCAAGGAATCACAATTCCTCACCAGCAAGGGAACAAAGCTGGATGGAGAATGAGTCTGATGAATTGACACAAACAGACTTCAGAAGGTGGGTAACAACAAACTTCTCTGAGCTAAAAGAACATGTTCTAACCCAATGCAAAGAAACTAAGTACCTTGAAAAAAGGTTTGACAAAATGCTAATAAGAATAAACAGCTTAGAGAAGAATATAAATGGCTTGCTGGAGCTGAAAAACACAACACGAGAGCTTCGTGAAGCCTACATAAATTTCAGTAGCCGAATCAACCAAGCAGAAGAAAGGATATCAGCGATTGAAGATCAACTCAATGAAATAAAACAAGAAGGCAAGATTAGAGAAAAAATAGTGAAAAGAAATGAACAAAGCCTCCAAGAAACATGGGATTATGTGAAAAGACCTAATCTATGCTTGATCGGTGTACCTGAATGTGACAGAATGAATCCAAGCTGGAAAACACTCTTCAGGATATTATCCCGGAGAACTTCTCCAACCTACCAAGGCAGGCCAACATTCAAGTCCAAGAAATATAGAGAACACCAGAAAGATATTCCTAAGAGCAACTACAAGGCACACAATATTCAGATTCACCAGGGTTGAAACGAAGGAAAAAATGCTAAGGGCAGCCAGAGAGAAAGGTCGAGTTACCCACAAAGGGAAGCCCATCAGACTCATAGTAATCTCTCGGCAGAAACCCTACAAGCCAGAAGAGAGTGGGGACCAATATTCAACATCCATAAAGAAAAGAACTTTCAACCTAGAATTTCAAATCCAGTCAAGCTAAGCTTCATAAGCAAAGGAGAAATAACATCCTTTACAAACAAGCAATTGCTCAGAGATTTCATTACCACCAGCCCTGCCTTACAAGAGCTCCTGAAAAAAGCACTAAACATAAAAAGGAACAACCAGTACCAGCCACTCCAAAAACGTACCAAATGGTAAAGACCATTGACACAATGAAGAAACTGCATCAACTAACGGGCAAAACAACCAGCTAGCATCAAAATGGCAGGATCAAATTCACACATAACAATATTAACCTTAAATATAAATGGGTTAAATGCCCCAATTGAAAGACACAAACCTTCAAATTGGATAAAAAGTCAAAACCTGTCAGTGTGCTGTATTCAGGAAACCCATCTAATGTGCAAGGACACACATAGGCTCAAAATAAAGGGATGGAGAAGATTTACCAAGCAAATGGAGAGCAAAGAAAAAGCAGGAGTTACAATCCTCATCTGTAACAAAATAGACTTTAAACCAACAAAGATAAAAAGAAAGAAAGGCATTACATAATGGTAAAAGAATCAATGCACCAAGAAGAGCTAACGGTCCTAAATATAAATGCATCCAATACAGGAGCACCCAGATACATAAAGCAAGTTCTTAATGACCTACAGAGACTTAAGACTCCCACACAATAATAGTGGGAGACTTTAACACTCCACTGTCAATATTAGACAGATCAATGAGACAGAAAATTAACAAGGATATCAAGGACATGAACTCAGATCTGGATCAAGCAAATCTAAAAGACATCTACAGAACTTTCCATCCCAAATCCACGGAATATATATTGTTCTCAGCACCACATTGCACCTATTCTAAAATTGACCACATGACTGGAAGTAAATCACTCCTCAGCAAATGCAAAAGAACAGAAATCATAACAAACAGTCTCTTGGACCACAGTGCAATCAAATTAGAACTCAGGATTAAGAAACTAAACCAGAACCACACAACTTCATGTAAACTGAACAACAAGCTCTTGAATGTTGACTGGATCAACAATGAAGTGAAGGCAGAAATCAAGATGTTCTTTGAAACCAACGAGAAAGAATACACAATGTCCCAGAATATCTGGGACACATTTATCATGTTATTCTCTAAAGCATTTTCCTCAAATTGCTATTTCATCCAAAAGTTATTGCCTTGAAAAACAAGGCAATGTGTGCATATTCACATTTAACTCATTTGAATAACAAATATCAATAAAACATATGTCCCTGATGCCAACAGTAACAAAGAGGAGCAATGAGTCAGTGTGGTTTAGCCCAATTCTAGCACTCTTTCCTGTTACCAGTAGTTCCTGGAGCAGCCAAAATCATCTTTTATGCAAATATTCTAAATGCATCTGAAATAAGTTCACTTGTACTTAGTCTTAATTTCAAAAATCACTTTCTTTATACTCATGAAGTCTGATATTCCTAAATTTCCTGAATTCAGCAGTTCAGCCTTCTTCCCATCTCTTCACCAACTTTTGCCAAAACATACACGTCAAAGAAGTAACGTGTAATCAGATTCCCATGAAAACAAATTAAACAAAATCTTTAAATCACCAGAGACTTCTTCTTATTAATAACCATATATTATAAATATAAATTATATATTATTTATATATAGATATATAAATATATAAATTATATATTTATATATATTGATATATAAATATATAAATAATATAAACATATATAATAGCTATTATTTATATATATTTGGTTAAGAAAATATATTTGGTTAATAAGAAAAGATATATATGTATATGAGTGTGTGTATACAAGTGTGTGTGGGTGTATATATATATATATATATATATATATATATATACATACATACATATATATATATAATGATTGCCAAGATTATTGGAAGTTGCCCTTTTAGTACTCAAGAAATACATTCTTTGATTCCTTTGTTTCTAAAGCTAGTTTGATATTGTATACCATAGGGGCTTCTCAGGTCCTTTTATGAAATAACTACCTCAGCAAACACAGCTTTCCTAAAGAAAAAAAAAAACAATTTTCTGAATTAAAGTGCATCCCAATATGCTAACTGATGTGAACAAAGCACATATCATTGATGTGCAAAACTTCTAGGGAGAAGAAATTGAATCCTGAGGGTAACCCTCATCCTTCTAACTTCTGCTTTCCATAAAGTGACTTCCCACACGTCTCCTCATCAGAAACCTCGAAATTACCTAGCTAGCTTTCTTTGTTTATACCTGCCCAATTTGGCATACACTCTTTTTTCATTCATTAATCTAATATCCATACTGGTGGACTTCATTCTTTGCCCTTTAAATTTGTTTCTTCTTCATTCTCATCACCACTATATTGTGAAATCTGTACAATCCCATTCTTACACATGTGCATGTAAGGTTTTTCTTTATTAAAATGTTAACTGTATCAGATACTTGACTAATGTGTACAAATTCCTTCCTCACAAAAGTAGCCCCATGGCCTCCTCTCTCCCATAGACACATTGTTTCACAGATATTCTTCACTCACATCAGTTTGTTTATCTATTGTCTTTCATTTTGTCTCTATGCTTTCGCTTCATGAGTTATTATCACAGGCTCAGCAATCTATCTCACCTATTTTCCTCTCCAGGAAACATTACTGAGCAGTAAATTAGAATCTTCCAGGATATAAACACTTTTATGTACACAAGGCCTTGTGGAGCTATTTTATGTTTATGCATAACACCACTATTTCTATGCCTTCCAGAGAAACAGGCTGTGGAATTTTACTGAACATAACTTATTTAAAACTTCTTCAACTACAATGACACCATCTTTCCTCAATGCACCAACATCTTCAGAAATAACTTGTGAAGATTTGAAAACATGTCAGTAATTGACATGAAAAATGAAGTATTGGCATAGTTTTTTGCAGATATAAATAAAACAAGCTGAGATCCTTACTAGATCCAAGGAGAGCAGAGTGCCATGAAACAGGAAATAAATATGGAATAGAAATATTTTTATTTGTAATGAAAAGTCTTCAACAGTTTTCAGAAGAGGAAAATACACACACACACACACACGCACACACACACACACACACACACACCCCCCAGAGCAATACAGCTTTACAGGGCTTTTCTTCATCAAGGGCCTATTTGTCATTTGACGTCAGGGAATGCTTTATAGGGATCAACAAAGGGGTTCTAAATTGTGACCTGAGTAGTTTAGAGTTTAACATTGATGAAGGGGAGCCAAGAGGACAAGTAACACTTTTACCATTGGCCATTTCCATTCCTAGTGTCATTCTCTGAAAAGCACACACTAGAGTTTCTTTATTTTATTTATTTATTTTTTTGGCATGTAGCTGACCAGCCTACCAGGTTTTTATGCAGTTCAACACACACAGTGACACCAAGGCAAGACAAATGAAGTTCCAGTTTGGGTGCCTCCATCTCCCTCCCCTGGATCCTGATCCAGTGACTGTCAAAGCCAGAAAGAACTGGGGTAGGTGCTTGATCATGGGGAAGGCTGTTGTGGTTCGCCTGGCAGATGGGAAAGGGGGAAGGTTTCACTTCTTCACAATTTGAATGACATCCTCGTCCTCCAACGTATGGTCTTTACCCACTTTCTGAGGATTGTGTTTCACAGAGAGACCCCAGACCAGAGCATATTTAAATTCTTTGATAAGATTTTTGTGAATCTTCATGCAGAAATCCTCCACTGTGGTCCTGGAGTAAGGAAGCACCACTGGGGATATGTAATCTGGTAACTGGCCTTTGGGTTTGGTGTAAATTCTCACTAGTTTCAGATAGTCCCAGATCTTTTCCAGTAGGTCATCAAAATTCCAACTGAGATGGGCAGAGATGGGTACACAGTGAGGCACCTTATAGATGATATCCAATTCCTCAACAGAGATTTGGTCAATCTTATTTAACACATAGATACAGGGGATATAAACTCTGTTTCCTTCCACCTCATCAATGAGGTCATCAGCTGTAGCATCACTACGTAGAGTAACATCGGCATTATGAATCTTGTATTCGGCCAGAATGCTTTTCACAGTTTCAGCATCCAGCTCACTCCGGGGGCAAGTGGCTGTGAGATTAATCTCTCCCTTGTCCTTCTTCTTAAAGCCAATGCTGGGGAGTTTGCTGTTCAAGTGAATGCCAAAGCCTTCCAGTTCATTTTCAATTATCTTCTTATGTCCCAAGCGTTTCAGGACATCCAAAACAATCAGGATCAAGTTACAGGTTTGGGCCACTGCAATGACTTGATGACCTCTACCTTTCCCATCCTTGGCACCTTCAATGATACCTGGGAGATCCAGGAGCTGGCTCTTGGCACCTTTGTATCTGATGACACCAGGCACAGTGGTCAGAGTAGTGAATTCATAGGCTGCTACCTCAGAATACACCCCTGCCAGGTTACTAAGCAGTGTTGACTTCCCCGCAGATGGAAAACCAACAAATCCAATTCGAGCATCACCTGTCTTGGCCACATCAAAATATTCTCCTGGACCTCCACCACCACCACCCTTTGGAATAACGAGCTCTCGATGACGCTTACCAAGACGAGCCTTAAGCAGCCCTAGGTGTGTGCTGTGGCCTTGTTCTTTTGAGTCCGAGCCATCTCAGCTTCTATCTCCGCGATCTTAGCTAAGGTGCTGCTCATCCTGGCTAGTCCCCTGTGGCCTCCACACTGACTGTCTCTCTTCACACACCCGCGGGCAAACTGCCCACACTAGAGTTTCTTAGAGTCATGACGTGTCAGAAAGACATGGTTTAAGGGGTAAACAGGTGCAATCAACACAGCCATGGGAGAGATACTTGATACCTGGAAACAGATCCACATATTATCTATGAAAGCGCATGTATCTTGTAAAATATTTTTAATGTGCATTGCAGTGATTTAAAAGTAAAAAATATTAATTCAGGCTGTTGGTTACCTGTTGGTAATGAATGGTAGTAGAAGAAAAGATTCTAAGGCCAAAGCAACTCAGAATCATTGTTTTTAAACACTGTAGCTACCAAAGAGTTAAAAAAGAATGAAGAATAACTTTATCCAAAGAGTTAAAAAAGAATGAAGAATCACTTTATTCATTTTTAATCAGAGATAAACACACACACATACACATGCAGAAACTCAATCTGGCAATCAGAAGATGTGGTTAAGTAAGATTCTCAATGTAACGACACTGACATAAAAGAGTTGAAGTTCTAAAACAATTGTAATGTCAGCAGGTATAGCTTTTCTCGAGATGCAGAAGAGAGAAGAGTATTGCAATCCATTTTGAAGCACTGAAAATTTTTACATTTTCAAAATACACCTCCTTGAATCCCTAACATGCACAGGAATTCAAAATTGGGATCTTTAGATGATGACAACTTAAAAGGAAAAGTATTTAGGCTAGAGCTCACGGTGTGAAAATGTCTGCCTTATGCTTTAAATATCATTTTATAAACAAATATATTAATAAGAACATTAGCATATTTACATCAAATTCTTCCATCCCATTTGGGAAAAAGTGAGAATCAAAAACCTATGTGCATTTTCAATATTTTCATGTACATTTTCCAGAATGAAATTTGTAGTGGCAAATTTACCTTCTCTGGAAGTTGGTGAATCCACCCTTCCTACGACTCTAGTTGAAATGTGATCTCTGTCTTTCACAGTATGCTGAATGGGTTTGACAACATAATGATTAACATGTCATGTATATATCACAGAACATTTTATTAATAATTAAAGAAAATATGTATGTTTACCATAAATAAAGGCGGTTGCTCAGGAGACACTACAAAGGAAAAGGAACACATAATTGACTACAGGTGAATATGACACAGCCTACCATCAATCATGCAGTGTTTGTATCCAGCTGAGATCTTTTTGGTTTGCCTTGAAATTGCTACCCATTAGGCTTTGGGTTGCTTTGCTCTTGTTTTGGTTAACACACAAACGTGACAGAAATATACACACGAAAATCACAGTATAGATTCTATAAAACATGCAATCCAGATTGCAAGTGTGAGATTAGGTTTCACATGACTACAAGTAATATAGGAAAGTACTTCTACCAATGTGAATCTGATGAATCAAACCAAAAAAAGTGATGTCAAATGACAGGACCAAATAGGGCCCCAGAAGGATAAATGTCAAAAGTCCATGGTAGAATGCTATGGCATACCTTAAGAAATCACCCAAGAATCATTTAAACTATTAGAATTGTTATTCTATCCTTCATTTTGTCCTTTAACTTAGAAACTATGAAGTTGAGATGAGAGTACATTAAAATGTATCATTTATTTCTGTTAGCAGAAAGTGTTCTCAATTATTAGTTTAGATATCTACTTGGAGAAGAATAGTTTATAAAAATACACGTTGTTCACAGTCATGAAGGCTTCTGGTATTTTCAAATTGCCTGCATTCTCGACTTTTGTTCGGCATCTTTTTATTCACTTATGCAAAAAATGTATAAAATACACATCAAATAAATAATAAGTACTCAGATTTCCATATTAAAAACTCTAGCCAAAATCTGTGAACAATCACTGACTTTTTTTCTTAATGATCAACTTTTTTTTTTTTTTTTTTTGAGACAAAGTTTCACTCTATTACTCAGGCTGGAGCACGGAGGTGCAATCTCGGCTCGCAGCAGCCTCCACTTCCCAGGTTCAAGCAATTCTCCTGCCTCAGCCTCCCAAGTAGCTGAGACTACAGGTATGTGCCACCACGCCTAGCTAATTTTTTGTATTTTGAGTAGAGATGGGGTTTCAGTGTGTTAGCCAGGGTAGTCTCAATTTCCTCACCTTGTGATCTGCCTGTCTTGGCCTCCCAAAGAGCTGGGATTACAGGCATGAGCCACTGCGGCCAGCCTAATCAACTTCTATGTGTCAAAATCTTAGCCATGATTATTGACAGTTATACTTTTAGTACTCAATAAATAAATTTCTTGTTTGTTTTTTTTCTAAAGTCAGTTTGATATGATATAGCATAGCAGTCTCTGAGGTACTTTTTAAAAAATGGCTATTTCATCAAAACAGCATTTTTTAAAGAAAACAGTCAATGTTTTGATATCCAAGTGCCTCCCAGTTTGCTAATGAACATGTATGAAGCACATATCATTGATGTGTAACCCTTATAGAGAGAAGAAATCAGTTCCTGTGGTTTATTGCACTCTTCTACCCTCTACTTCTAGTAAGTTCCGAAGCAGCAGTAGTTTAATCTTCTCTTTGAGTGGGAATATACTCAGTCCACATAAAATTAGTTCCCTCAAGTTTCCTCATCAGAAACCTCCTAATTACCTAGCCAGCTGCTTTCTTAATTTACATCATCCCACATCACATTTTTTTTTTTTGTAAATCTAATGTCCATATCTCAACAATGAATATTATACTTTGGTCAACAAGTTTAATTGTTCACCAAAGTTTTAAGGAAAAGTATAAATTAAATTAAATTATATTTACCATTTAAAATTCCTAAATTATATTCATTGTTTAAGTTAGGTTTATAATTTAATGTAATTTATATTTAATTTCAAATTTATTTTGAATTATATGTAAACTAATTACATTATTTTCAAAAATTATATTATTAAAGCATAGAAAATTATTCAGCTATATTCAGTATCTCATCACCTTTGTTTTTGTACACAAAAAATAACATTATCATTATTTGATTGCTCTCGTGGAGCACTTTTTATAATATCAATACCATTTGCTTTTTTTCCAGTTGTTGGTAGTACTTTTCCTTCCTATTTAAAAAAAAGAGAAAAAAGAAATCTTCAGAAAATGTTGTATTTATCACTCAGTCAGTCAGTAATTCAAGAAACATTTGCTGTGTCTACAAATTCATAGGGTCTATCCCAGAAAAATCTGATAATATTAATAAAATACTAATTTTTTCCTAAATTGGAAATAGAAATGTAGAAAAACAAAAGCAGAAACTAACATTATTATTTCTGCAATTCAAGTCAATAAAATACAGTAGCAGCACAAAGGCAGTTAAGAGTTATTTCTACCTGAAAAGCTCCTGAGACACTGCAAATTTAGGGTGACATTTTTAAAATAGACGAGTGAAGAGTAACAGTGTGAAGGGTTTCTAGTCAGGGCAGCACATGCCAAAAATAAAAAATAAAAAATAAGGCATGAAACAGCATAGCAAAGAAGAAATACCACAATAATGTGGTAAAACTTGGACATAGTCAGAGAAAATGGGGTGGAGAGATAAAATGGGAGAAATAGGCCAAACCATAAAATATGTGTTAGGTTAGAATGTAAATGTTTCCTTCACGTAAGGAGGATCCAGCCATAAGCAGATGAGTTACATCAAAGTAAACACATTTAAGAAAGGTCAACCTGAAAGACATATATAGATAGATAAATGTGGGGAGAAGAGAGAAACAAAAAAGAACATTCCAAAAGTATAGGTCAGTCAATTACAGTAGGAAGATATGAGAAGTGGTAAAAAGTAGAAAATACAAAACTTGGTGCATCACTCAATTGGCAGTGTGAGGAAAATCTGAAGTGCAGTTATTCTGCTTCAATGTTTCATTGCTATTTACTAGGTGTTAGTTACTAAAATTGGGAAGCCAGATGGCAGAGTATATTACAAAGAGTCAGGAAAGAATCTGGAAGGCATCAAGAACAATGTGTTTCAGTTTGAGACCTATCAAATTTGAGGCACAAAGGGGACTTAGAAGACTGATCTAGGTAAATACATTTAGAGTAGAAATAGAGGACCTTACTAAAAAAAAACCCCATATGTTGTTAAGAAGATCAACATTTGTAAAATATACGAAACTGATAGGATTCAATAATTTAAACCATTGAAGTACTCTGAAGTTTTGAAAATAAAAAGAAAACATGGAATTCAAATTTTCAATTATATATTTCTATGCTGGATTAATAGATAAGAAATATATTTTCTTAACATATGCAGATACTTATTTCTGAAATATTATGGTCATATGCATTTTTAAACTCAAGGAAAAGTTATCTAAACCAGTAATTCAAGGTATCATAAGAAAACTCATTTTTAAAAACTTATCTTACAAGTGTTTAACTTGTAGAGAAATGTTTATTCAATTATAGAACTATGAGGCATTTTAAGTACTACTAAAGAATATGAGAGAAATGTAAAATCCTATTTTAAAGTTCATATGGTTTTCTGATTCTTCTGTAAATGATATACTAATAGCTCTAGTTGCCTACTTACGCCATAAAAATGACAGTTAAAAATCAGAGAAAGGATCAAGTAAAATAATCATGACTATGCAAGCAGAAGACTTACATATCTTCAAATACACTATTACTGTCAATCAGGACCCAATACTCACATGAAGAGAGAATAAATTTATTTTAAAAATCAAGTCGGCCAGGTGCGGTGACTCACACCTGTAATCCCAGCACTTTGGAAGGCTGAGGTGGGAGGATCACTTGAGGTCAGGAGCTCCAGAGCAGCCTGGCTGATACGGTAACACCTCATCTCTCCTAAAAATACAAAAATTAGCCAGGCGTGGTAGCACACACCTGTAGTCCCAGCTACTCAGGAGGCTGAGGCATAAGAACTGCTAGAATGCCAGAGATAGAGGTTGCAGTGAGCTAAGACTGTGCTACTGCACTCCAGCCTGGGCAACAGAGTGAGACTCTGTCTCAAAAAAAAAAAAAAAAAAAAAATCAAGTCAAGGGCTGGGCGAGGTGGCTCACACCTGTAATCCCAGCACTTTTGGAAGCCAAGGTGGATGTATCCTGAGGTCAGGAGTTCAAGATCAGCACTTTAGTGTACTGAGGTGAATGAGTCACAAGGTCAGTAGTTCAAGATCAGCCTGGCCAACATAGTGAAACCCTGTCTCTACTAAAAATACAAAAATTAGCGGGGCATGGTGGTGCACGCCTGTCGTCCCAGCAATTACTTGGGAGGCTGAGGCAGGAGAATTGCTTGAACTTGGGAGGTGGAGGTTGCAGTGAGCCAAGATCATAACATTGCACTCCAGCCTGGGTGATACAGTGAGATTCTTATCTCAAAAAAATAAAAATAAAAATAAATAAATAAAGTCAAAAGGATTCCTGAGTTTTAGAGTGGAATAAATTTATGTGCAAGGTTTAATAGTTAATAAAGCTTCCAGAGAATAATAGAAATTGTCCCAACTGTGACAGATAGTTTTAAAAGTAAAAAGTAATATTCCAGAGATAATTTTGTATACTCTGTTGGCAATATTTTTTCCTTATGATTCTATGAAAATAGGTAATTTGTTTAGAAAACAATCATGAGTGTTGATTGCATTCATCTCATGTGTGTTCTTAAACACAGATGTTAACAGCAAAAGGTCAGTCATATACAGATATTTCTGGACTATCTCTAGAAATAAGCAATAATTCATTTCTTTAAGAGAGTTGCAAGTTAAACCATATATTTTCTCATTCAATGGATATAAATTAAGAACCTCCTTTAAAAATAACCAGAAATTTTAATTTTTATTGATGAAAGATAAATGCTTATTTATTTATTCTCTATTATCAAAAAAGGCTAAAACAGCCACCAAGATTATGTAAAAATAAAATAAATTAGTTAAGCAACTTATGAATATACCAAATAATACTTTAAAAAACTTTTAACCAGAGTCAAAAATTAATGATTCATTCAAAATCTGATAAGCCTAAACCAGATCTTACTTTGCCTTATCTATGGACACAGCATTTACTAGATAACATATAAGAAATCACTTTACTAAAATTGAATAAAGTGAGGATTAAATTTTCTTTCCATTTAGACTTTTAAAATTAATAAATAGATGCATATATCTTCAGTGTACATGTCATGATTTGATCCATCTATATAATCTAATGAGGGTAACAGGGATACGCATTGCCTTAAATATGTATCTTTTACTTTAACTAGAAATGCTCAAATTATTCTCTCCTAGCTGTTTTTTAATGTATAACAGAATGTTAACTATAGTCACCCATGAATTTTCTTTCAATCCTTTATTAAAATTACCCATAAGTCACTCAGAAGAATCTGAGAATGTTTTTATTACTTGGCTTTCTTTTCTTAATCTGCATTTAAAATAATTTCTGTACTATAGAAATATTCTGCTCTCATTTAAACTGAGGATTTCTAAGGTGTTTTTATATGAACCTTTGTCACCTTGACTCTCTTATTCAGTCTCTGTGTTCTTACATCTTTCCCTTCCTCACCTTTGAATTTGTTGAGCTATTCTTTCAGGTTGCTTTCTACTTCTTTCCTTTCCTAATGGCAAACTTGAGAATACACACCCACCACCTTTTATGAAACTCAGTCCTGTGCATATATTTCCATTGTTGTGCACTTGTTTTCTATTATTATCTTGAGAATTTCCATTCCTTTCTAGGATCCTTGTAATCATTATAAAGATGGGGAGATGGTATGTCAATAAAGAATCGAAAAAATATTTTCGAAATAAAACGATTTAACCTTGTAAAGCTATAGATCATTTATAGATGAGGATGAGTGGTAAACAGGAAAAGATTGTGATTATTCTATGATAGCTTTTAAACACATCTTCATTTACCTTATCATTCTTTTGATTTTCAAACAAGGTTCCATTTTCGGTTTTTTCAATGCCATATGCAGCATGTACTACAGTGAAAACAAAGTGAAGAGTAGATGAAATGCTTCTAATTAAGAATCAGGAAACAAGAACCAGGTGTGGTGGCTCACCCCTTTAATCCCAGCACTAAGGAAGGCAGAGGCAGGCAGACCACCTGAGGTTAGGAGTTTGAGACTAGTTTGGCCAACATGGTGAAACCCCATCTCTACTAAAAATACAAAAATTAGCCCGCTGTGGTGGTGTGCACCTGTAATCCCAGCTACTCAGGAGGCTGAGGCAGGAGAATCACTTGAACCCAGGAAGTGGAAGTTGCAGTGAGACAAGATAATGCCACTGACCTCCAGCCTGGGCAGCAGAGTAAGTAAGACTCAGTCTTAAAAAAAAAAAAAAAAAAAGAAAGAAAGAAAGAAAACAAAACAAAACAAAACAAAAAAAGAATCAGTAAATAATAAAATAGGCTCAAATAGCTTACAATTTTCTAAAGAATCTTCATGAGGAATCCTCTTTATTTCACGTGGTTTTGCAATAATCTAGAAGAAAATCAATCGATTTAAGAATAGCATGCAACAAGTTAAAACGATTACAATAGTGACCATTACTATATGATCTAACACAAAATGTACAGGTTTTGAAGTTATTCATACGTAGAGTCAAATCTTGAGTCTGCCATTTACTTCTCTACATATTCTAATGTCATGATGATTATGATTGGTGATATAAATAGTCTCAAAATGTAACTCCTTTTAACCCTAGTTGATTATTACACAAATACTATGATACTCATTAGTTTCTTTTCCTATCCACAACAACCTAGGACAAAAATTTACTCGTATGTAATTTCGAGTATCACTGAATAGGAATAATAATACAAAAGTAAATTAACCACATTATTTTTCAAAATATCTATGCATTATATCTATCTACGTGCATTACATTTTGTGGGAATAAAATGTGAGCCTGTGGTTTTTAGTAATACTATATTTAAATGGGTTGGCATCGGAAACAGTACAAGTTGCTTGCATTCTCTGTGTTAAAAGCTAAGAAAAAAATATTGTATAACTTCAGCTCCTTCCAAAAAAAGGAGAACAAAACAACCAACCACCATATAGAGCAATGATTGATGAATGAAAGCCACACAGAGGTGCTAAAGAGAAAGCTGTAATAAGTGTGCTGATAATAGAAACAGAGGTGAAATGAAAAAACAGACACTAAAGACATGTGTTCTGCAAGGAAAAAGTTAAGACTGAGGTAAATCTGCATTCTAGCCAGGGCAATAAAGCAACACTCCCATTCTCTCTCCCTCTTCCTCTTCCTCTTTCTTCCTCTTCTTCATTCTTTTTTTTTTTATTCTTTCTTTTTATTTCTTTCTCTCTTTCTTTAAAAAAAAAAGACTGAGGTAAATCATTTTTAAACAAAGAAGAAGGAGGGAGAAACAAACAAAAAGAGAGATATGACCAGTCAATCAAATATGAGCTGAAAAGAAAATCTTGTATTCATAATATAAGCCCAATAATACTGGTTAGCATTTACTCTACAGTTTGTTTTGTGTAAATACTTATATAATAAAGAATTCAATTTGTTAGCTACAAAATAAGACACCCAAGAAATAAACATGATCATCCACCTGAAAGCTGAAACATTCTTACTACAGAGAGAGAGAAAGAAAAAAATAAAGTTCCATCAACTTTCCACCTGGAGAAAAAAAAAAAATTTTTTCACAAGACAAATGGAGAAATTTTTATTTAGATTTTATTCATGTAGGGAACTTTGGAATTCATGGAAAGTAAGAGTTACTGCATACCCTTTGTAGGCTGAATCAAGTGGCCACCTGGTGAAAAGTGGCACGCATATATACATATACATATATATATATATATATATATATATATATATATACATTTTTTTTTCTTTTCATTGTCTTTTAGGTTCTGGGGTTCATGTGCAGAACATGCAGGATTTGTTGCATAGTACATACATGGTAATGTGGTTTGCTGCCTCCATCCCCCTGTCACCTATTATCTGGCATTTCTCCCCATGTTATCTATCCATAGCCTCCCTACCTCCGCTGTCTCTCCCCTAATACCACTGCCAACAGACCCCAGTGTGTGATGCTCCACTCCCTGTGTCCATGAGTTCTCATTGTTCAACACCCACCTATGAGTGAGAACATGCAGTGTTTAATTTTCTGTTCTTGTGTCAGTTTTCTGAGAATGATGGTTTCCAGATTCACCCAAGTTCCTGCAAAGGACACAAACTCATCGTGTTTTATGGCTGTATAGCATTCCACGGTGTATATGTGCCACATTTTCCTTGTCCAGTCTATCATTGATGGGCATTTGGGTTGATTCCAGGTCTTTGCTATTGTAAACAGTGCCAAAATGAACATATGTGTGCATGTGTCTTTATAATAGAATGATTTATAATCCTTTGGATATATACCCAGTAATGGGATTGCTGGGTCAAATGGAATTTCTATTTCTAGGTCCTTGAGGAAGTGCCACACTGTCTTCCACAATAGTTGAACTAATTTACACTCACACCAACAGTGTAAAAGTGTTCCTATTTCTCCGCATCCTCTCCAGCATCTGTTGTCTCCAGATTTTTTAATGACCGCCATTCTAACTGGCGTGAGATGGTATTTCAATGTGGTTTTGATTTGCATTTCTCTAATGACCAGTGATGATAAGCATTTTTTAATATGTTTGTTAGCCTCATAAATATCTTCTGTTGAAAAGTGTCTGTTCATGTCCTTTGCCCACTTTTGAATGGGTTTATTTGTTTTTATTTTCTTGTAAATCTGTTTTAGTTCTTAGACTCTGGATATAAGCCCTTTGTCAGATGGGTAGACGGCAAAAATATTTTTCCACTCTGTTGGATGCCAGTTCACTCTAATGATTGTTTCTTTTGCTGTGGAGAAGCTCTGGAGTTTAATTAGATCCCATTTGTATATTTTGGCTTTTGTTGCCAATGCTTTTGGTGTTTTAGTTATGAAGTCCTTGCCTATGCCTATGTCCTGAATGGTTTTGCCTAGGCTTTCTTCTCGGACTTTTATGGTGTGAGGTCTTATGTTTAAGTCTTTAATCCATCTGGAGTTAAATTTAGTATAAGGTGTAAGGAAGGGGTCCAGCTTCTACTTTCTGCACATGGTAAGCCAGTTTTCCCAACACCATTTATTAAACAGGGAATCCTTTCCCTATTGCTTGTTTTTATCAGGTTTGTCAAAGATCAGATGGTTATAGATGTGTGGCATTGCCTCTGGGGCCTCTGTTCTGTTCCATTGGTCTGTATCTCTGTTTTGGTACCAGTACCATGCTGTTTTGATTACTGTAGCCTTGTAGTATAGTTTGAAGTCAGGTAGCATGATGACTTTAGCTTTGTTTTTTTTTTTGCTTAGGATTATCTTGGCTATGCAGGCTCTCTTTTGGTACCATATGAAATTTAAGCTGTTTTTTTCCAGTTCTGTGAAGAGGGTCATAGGTAGCTGCATGGGTATAGCACTGAATGTATAAATTACTTTTGGCAGTATGGCCATTTTCACAATATTGATTCTTCATAACCATGGGCATAGAATGTTTTTCCATCTGTTTGTGTCCTCTCTTATTACCTTGAGCAGTGGTTTGTAGTTCTCCTTAAAGAGGTCCTTTACATTCTTTGTTAGTTATATTCCTAGGTATTTCATTTTCTTTGTAGCAATTGTGAATGGCAGTTCGTTCTTGACTTGGCTCTCTTTAGGTCTGTTATTGGCATACAGGAATGCTTGTGATTTCTGCACATTGATTTTGTATCCTGAGACTTTGCTGAAGTTGCTTATGAGTTTAAGGAGATTTTGAGCTGAGATGATGGGGTCTTCTAAATATACAATCATGTCGTCTGCAAATAGAGACAATTTGACTTCCTCCTTTCCTAATTGAATACACTTTATTTCTTTTTCTTGCCTGATTGCTCTGACTAGAACTTCCAATACTATATTGAATAGGAGTGGTGAGAGAGGGCATCCTTCTCTAGTGCCAGATTTCAAAGGGAATGCTTCCAGTTTTAGCCCATTCAGTCTGATATTGGCTGTGGGTTTGTCGTAAATAGCTTTTATTGTTTTGAGATGCATTCCATCTATACCTAGTTTATTGAGAGTTTTTAATATAAAGGGCTGTTGAAATGTGTCAAAGGCCTTCTCTGCATCTATTGAGATAGTCACATGGTTTTTGTCTTTGGTTCTGCTTATGTGGTGGATTATGATTACATACTTGTGAATGTTGAACCAGCCTTTGCATCTCCAGGATGAAGCCTACTTGATCATGATGGATAAGCTTTTTGATATGCTATTGCAATCGTTTTGCCAGTATTTTATTGAAGATTTTTTCCTCAATGTTCATCATGGATATTGGCCTGACATTTTCTTCTGTTGTTGACTCTTTCTTTAAAAAAAAAAAAAAAGGTTTTGGTATCACGATGATGTTGGTCTCATGAAATGATTTGGGAAGGATTCCCTCTTTTTGGATTGCTTGGAATAGTTTCAGAAGGAGTGGTACCTGCTCCCCTTTGTATGTCCGGAAGAATTCATCTGTGAATCTAACTGGACCTGGGCTTTTTTGGTTGGTAGGCTATTAATTGCTACCTCAACCTCAGCCCTTATTATTGGTCTGTTCAGGGTTTTGACTTATTCCTGGTTTAGGCTTGGGAGGATGCAATTGTCCAGGGATTTATCCATTTCTTCAAGGTTTACTGGTTTATGTGCATAGACTTGTTTGTAGTAATTTCTGATGGTAGTTTGTATTTCTGTGGAATTGGTGGTGATATCCCCTTTATTGATTTTTATTGCATCTATTTGATTCTTCTTTCTTTTCTTTTTCATTAATCTGGCTAGTGGTCTATTTTGTTGATCTTTTGAAAAAACCAGCTCCGGGATTTATTGATTTTTTGAAGGGTTTTTTGGTTCTCTATCTCCTTTAGTATTTCTCTGATCTTAGTTATTTCTTGTCTCCTTCTAGCTTTTGAGTTTTTTTTTTTAAATCTTGCTCGTCTAGCTCTTCCAATTTTGATGATAGGGTGTCAATTTTAGATCTTTCCTTGCTTCTCATGTGGGCATTTTTTGCTATAAATTTCCCTCTAGACACTACTTTAAATGTGTCCCAGAGATTCTGGTATGTTGTGTCTTCATTCTCATTAGTTTGAAAGAACATCTTGATTTCTGCCTTCATTTCATTGTTTATCCAGTCAATATTCAAGAGTCAGTTCTTCAGTTCACATTAAGTTTTGCGATTTGGATTTAGTTTCTTAACCCTGAGTTCTAATCTGATTGCACTGTGGTCTGAGAAACTGTTTGTTATGATTTCTGTTCTTTTGCATTTGCTAAGGAGTGATTTACTTCCAGTTATGTGATCAATTTTAGAGAAGGTGCGATGTGGTGCTGAGAAAAATGTATATTCTGTGGATTTGGGGTGGAGAGTTCTATAAATGTCTATTAGGTTTGCTTGGTGCAGTTCTGAGTTCAAGTCCTGGATATCCTTGTTAATATTCTGTCTTGTTGATCGGTCTAATATTGACAGTGGAGTGTAAAGTCTCCCACTATTATTGTGTGGGAGGAGTCTAAGTCTCTTTGTAGGCTGTTAAGAACTTGCTTTATGTATCTGGGAGCTCCTGTATAAATTGTGTACATATTCAGGATTGTTAGCTCTTCTTGTTCCATTGATCCTTTTCCCATTATGTAATGCCCTTCTTTGTCTCTTCTGATCTTTGTTGGTTTAACGTCTATTTTATCACAGACTAGGATTGCAACTCCTGCTTTTCTTTGCTCTCCATTTGCTTGGTAAATCTTCTCCATCCCTTTATATTGAGCCTATGTGTGTCCTTGCATGTGAGATGGGTTTCCTCAATACAGCACACCAATGGGTTTTGGCTTTTTATCCAATTTGCCAGTCTGTGTCTTTTGATTCAAGCATTTAGCCCATTTACATTTAAGGTTAATATTGTTATGTATAAATCTGATCCTGCAATTTTGATGCTAGCTGATTGTTTTGCCCATTAGTTGATGCAGTTTCTTCATTGTGTTGATGCTCTTCACTATTTGGTAGGTTTTTAAAGTGGCTGGTACTGGTTGTTCCTTTCTATGTTTAGTGCTTCTTTCAGGGGCTCTTGTAAGTCAGGCCTGGCGTTAACAAAATCTCTCAGCAAGTGCTTGTTTGTAAAGGATGTTATTTCTTCTTTGCTTGTGAAGCTTAATTTGACTGGATATGAAATTCTAGGTTGAAAGTTCTTTTCTTTAAGGATGTTGAATATTGGCCCCCACTCTCTTCTGGCTTGGAGGGTTTCTGCTGAGAGATCCACTGTGAGTCTGATGGGCGTCCCTTTGTGGGTAACCAAAACTTTCTCTCTGGCTGCATTTTTTCTTCATTTCAACCTTGGTGAGTCTGACGACTGTGTGCCTTGGGGTTGCTCTTCTTAAGGAATATTGTTGTGGTGTTCTCTATATTTCCTGGACTTGAATGTTGGCCTACCTTGCTAGGTTCGGGATTTTCTCCTGGATAATATCCTGAAGACTGTTTTCCTCCATCACATTCAGGTATACCTATCAAACATAGATTAGGTCTTTTCACATAATCCTATATTTCTTGCAGGCCTTGTTCGTTTCTTTTTACTCTTTTTTCTCTAATCTTGCCTTCTCATTTTATTTCATTGAGTCGATCATCAATCTCTAATATCCTTTCTTCTGCTTGGTCGATTTGGCTATTGAAATTTGTGTAGGCTTCGCAAAGCTCTCGTGTTGTGTTTTTCAGCTCCAGCAAGTCGTTTATATTCTTCTCTCAGCTGTTTATTCTCATTAGCATTTCATCAAACCTTTTTTCAAGGTACTTAGTTTCTTTACATTGGGTTATAACATGTTCTTTTAGCTCAGAGAAGTTTGTTATTACCCACCTTCTGAAGTCTGTCTCTGTCAATTCATGAGACTCATTATCCAACTTTGGTCCTTTGCTGGTGAAGAGTTGTGATCCCTTAGAGGAGGAGAGGCATTCTGGTTTTGGGTGTTTTCATCCTTTTTGCACTGGTTTCTTCCCATCTTTGTGGAGTGATCTACCTGTGGTCTTTGTCATTGGTGACTTTCGGGCGGGGTCTCTGAGTAGATATCCTTTTTGTTGATGTTGAAGTTATTTCTGCTTCTTTTAGTTTTCCTTTTAACTGTCAGATCCCTCTGCTGTAGGACTGCTGGAGGTCCACTCCAAACTCTGCTTGCCTGGGGATAACCTGTGGTGATGGCAGAACAGTAAGGGTTGCTGCCACTTTATTCTTCTGTTATCTTCCTTCCAAAAGGATACCTGCCAGATGTCAACCTGAGCTCTCCTTTATGAGGTGTCTCTTTGGATATACAGAGGTCAGGGAGCTGCTTGAGGAGATAGTCTGTCCCTTATTGGAGCTCAAGTGCTATGCTGGGAGCTCCACTGTTCCACTCAATGGGGCTGCTGCTGGAACGGAACTCATAACTGCCTTTTTTCTCTAGGTGCTCTTTCCCGAGAAGGTGGGGCTTTATTTATAAGTTCCTGCTGCCTTTTTTCAAAGAGGCCCTTCCCAGCAAGGAGGTAGCATAGTCACAGTCTGCCAGCAGAGGTGTTGCTGACCTACCGTGGGCTCTGCCCAGCTACTGTATGAACTTCCTTGCGGTTTTGGTTACAGAGGTAGACTTAGAACTGCCTTGGGAATGGCAGTCTGACTCAGTAATGGTGGACTGGCTCGTTAATGGCAGACTGCCTTGGTAGTGGTGAACTGCCTCCATAATGGCAGACGCCCTTCCCCTGACAGAGCTGGACCCTCCCGGGTCAAACAGTGCTTGCTGAGAAACTGTCAGTCCAGAAGGTTTCAGATTGCTGGTCCTTGTAGGGGTGGGAACTGCTAAGCCAGATTACCTGGCTCCCTCTTATGCCTCCTTTTTTTCAGTTGAATGGGTGACTCTGTCCCACAAGTGTTCCAAGCCCCAGTTGAAATGGCGGCCGCCCAGATTATTGTGAGATTTTCTGGAGAGAGCTGCTGCACCAGCTGAAACAGCTGCTGGTGGCTGCCTTCAGCCAGGGAGTCTCCGGGTATGTGGGCTGTGAAAACTCATTTAAAATGCGGTGATCACTCACCCTCTGCATTGTTCTAATGGGGAACTGCACTCCAGTTCCTATTTGGCCATCTTGGATACTCTCTCCAAACAGGTTGTTTTTGTTAAACAAAATGCACATCATTTAAAGAGATAAATGAATATAAAGTATATTCTTAATTTTAAAAAGACCTAGAAAACACAGTGTAAACCCTTTGTAATACAGATTTCAGAACAGAACTTCAATTTCTAATCTCTCACAATTTTTTTTTTAATTAGAGATAAGGTCTTCCTATATTGCCAAGCTTGGTCTTAAACTCCTGGACACAAGCAATTCTCCTAGCTTCATCTCTTGAATAGCTGGGACTACAGGCACATGTTACCATGTCTAGTTATACTTCCACAATTTCTGATATTATTTTAGTCTAATTATAGAACCAAAGATAAAAATAAAGAAATACCTCATAGCAAAAAACTGTATGATATCAAAATAAGTGTACAAGAAATTAAAAGAAACTATATGCTATGTGTAACAGAGTGATTCCATAATTCCTATCAGTCATCTGATCTATTAAAGATTCATTTAAACAGAAGTATTAGTTATACTCACATTATTTACAACTCACAGTAAAGACACTTACTCAAATAATCCTAAACCGAAATTTGTATTTCCTCTATTGCATGAAAGCATTCCCTAACAGCATTTTTCTGTCATTATACTGTCCAGCCCATTTTATTCAGATCCCAACTCTCAAAGAATTTATCAACTATTTCTTTTTTGCCAAGGGAAAAAAAATTAACCCCTCCTATTTCTTTGAAATGGTTCTCTCTAATAACATAAAACAATGATAGGTAGATGACTGCTAAATGTTAGAAGATAATAATATTACAAAAATGAGATTCAGAGTGAGAAAACTAATTTCACAACTAAGTACTTTACCTCAGAATCAGGATTAGACTCATCCTCTGGCATAGACTTTGCACCAGCATCCGGTCTTCGGAGACACCTATACGGCAAAAAGAAACAACAAAAATGAGCAGGTTCATTTCTTAAAACTAAACAAAAACTTTCAGTCTATACATCTAAGTCCCTTCCCCCAAAAAATTGTAAAACAGAGTCTGAGGAAGGCCAGTTACCTGTATATTAAATAATATTTCTTGATATAATTTAGATATGGTCTCTGTTACAGAAAACATTTTAGTTACCTATTTCTGCCTCCACCTCTCCCAAACTATGAAATATCCAAGAACACTCACCCTTAAACCCGTAACACATACTGACAGGCAATACAATGGCACAGACAGACAATACTTTGTCCTTACAAATTATCTACCCTAAAGGCTAAACTGAAAATCCAACTGATATCTGACAGAACTTTTGTTACTGAACTGGAATAAACCTGATAACCTAAAACAAGGTAGAAAATGCACTGTCTCTTCTCCATTATCTATTTCTGATTCAAAAACTAATCTGTGTCACTGGAAAATGGGAGTCTTGGATCTTCAGCATGTAAGCTACTTAGAGAGTGCCCATTGATTCTGTTTTCCTTAGAACACACGGAGCCCCTGAAACACTGGACGTGTTTGAGAGCAGAGTATACAAAAATCAAAAACATAAAGATTTATGTTGTTATTGGGAATATCCTTCAAAGAAGATTAAAACTTTCTGAAATCTAATTATTATTATATTATAGATCCTGCCTTATTGAGGTTCATAAAACCCACCAATATTAAAAATCTTCCGCCAGGCACGGTGACGCGCCAGTAATTCCAGAGTTTGGGAGGTGCAGGTGGGCAGATCACGAGGTCAGTAGTTCAAGACCAGACTGGCCAACATGGGGAAACCCCATCTCTACTAAAAAATACAAAACTTAGCTGGACATGGTGGCTTGTGCCTGTAATCCCAGCTACATGGGAGGCTGAGGTAGAAGAATTGCTTGAACCAGGATCCAAGAGACAGGTTACAGTAGCAGAGATAGCCCCATGCACTCCAGCTTGGGCTACAGAGCAAGACTATGTCAAAAAAAAAAAAAAAAATCGTTTACACTCAGATACCCAAGAGACAGAATGCTGGAATAGTTTCAATCCTAAGTAGTTGTAGCTCCACTTCATTCAATACTATCTAAATATCTTCCTTCCCATAGGCTCCCAATTAAGGATCCAACTTCTGCAGGGATCCATGGCAATTTCCCATCTCTTTCCTTAGCCAAGCAAAGCCCAGATTCATAAAAACACAACCTCCAATAATTGAGAATAGGAGTACTCTATTCCTCTGCTGCTGGAAAGTAAGTAAGTCTCAGTCAAACATCCCAAGCATCGGGATGTTACCAACTACCCAACTGAAGTTTCATTACCGATTTGCCAACCAATCCTACCTTTGCCCTAACCGACAGGTACATGAGAGAATTGAGAAAAGAGGCAAGAAAAAGAAAAAAACAGACATCGATCCTGGGTCACAGATCTACATACTTAAGCAATCTCTAGCTTGGGTTCTAAACCCTCTCTAAGCTTGCGTGGAAGAAGAGGATACCAACATTCATATCTGCTCCAGAGACTCCTTACGGTAGCACAAAGTCTTATAACATTTTTCAGTAAAAACTTTAAAGTTTGGCAGTTCCTCCAGTTAAACAAACAAAAACGAAGCAGCTTTTCCAGAACTCCTTGAATGCCCTATTTTAATACACCTTTCTTGATAATTCCTAACATCCCGTGTTTCCAACTTCCTAAGTGTTTGACTCTCTTCAAATTTAGCTGTGCCCTGCAAATTCCATTCTTATCCACTTTCATTGAGTTCAACAGCTCATTCCATTCTCATCCTCTTCCACGGTGTTCACTAGAGCCACTCCCTCTTTCTGTTATAAAAACACTCAGTGACAAAATGATGTAAAAGAAGACTGGGTTTTGAATTAAGAAACCTGAGTGCAAATCTCATTTCTGCCATTTACTGTATCCAACAGAATAATTTCATCTCTTTGAGTTTCAGATTCTCCACCTGAACAACCACTTAATCAGGATGTTAAACACAGATTCAAGTACTACAGGGTATTTTGTTTAGTCTCCAGGATTTCTTAAAATTCTCAAATTCTGTGCCCTTCTCATTTTGTCTATAGGAAAATGGGGAATATTTAGCTACCATACAGGAAAACAATAATAGAAAGTAATAAACCCTAAGCAATGCAGAAGAGAAAGTAAAAAGAAATCAAGAAAATATTATTTCAATGTCATAGAAAGAAAAAAATAAATCCAGAAAACAAGAAACAGCTTCATCCAACTAGGCAGGGTACTCAAAGCGAAAACCAAACTGGGTAGTCAGTAAGTGGAGAAGTGAATTCTAAATAGGCTTTCAATATATGCTAAATATAGTTAATATAGCATAGACTATATGCAGATATTCTCCATGTACAGTAAAATGATTTCTCCCTTAGACTGACCTGGTCTTGCTTAGGAAAAACTTATGGTCCTTTGGCCACAGATAACTCATATCTGCTTTCAAAACTTTGATGGCTGAACAACAACAAAAAATTAGGTACTTGTTACCACTGTAAATTCCAAACATATTAGGACAAACTTTTGGAGTAGCCAAGCTTCTAAGGAACACTCTAAAGAGAGTTCATATATAACAAAATGTGACTTTCTGAATTGACCTGATTTAAACCAATACCTTGATCCCATTGCTGCATACATCTCTTTCCATCAATGTTTAGGCGCAAAGTGATGTGAAAGGCCAGGCCGGATGATTGTCAAATCATGGGTTGTCTACCTGTTAACTATGGAATCATGACCCAACATTTCAAACTCTTTCGACCAGAGTTGCCTAATCAGTAAGAAAGCAATAATAGCACAAATACTTTTTAAAGCTGTGTGAAGATGACAGGAGGTGATAAATGTGATACAGGTAATCTGGTATCTAGCACAGACTAGAACACTAAACAGAGAGTAGTTTCTATTCTCTCTATCCACTTAATTAACATATCACTTTAAATAATCTGTGAAATCATACCTGTTTAAATGCTCGTCAACAGCAGGATGCACTTAAAGAAAAAGTAAAATGCATTTTAAATCAACAATAGAAAACTACAGAATATTGAAAACATAAAAGATCACAGGGGCTTGTTCCCATAATCTCAGCTAGTCAGAACTCTGAGACAGAAGTATCACTTGAGGAGCCCAGGGGTATGAGACCAGCCTCGGCAACACAGCAAGCTTCTATCTTTACAAAAATAATCATGCTGGCTGGGTGCGGTGGCTCATGCCTGTAATCCCAGCACTTTGGGAGGCCGAAAGTGGTGGAACACTTGAGGTCAGGAGATGAAGACAAGCCTGGCCAACATGGTGAAAGCTCGTCTCTACTAAAAATACAAAAAGTAGTCAGGTATGGTGGTGCACACCTGTCACATGTCTATTTCTAAAACACTGAGGGTCAACAGCAATGTGGATACACCAAGTGATGAGGACCAATGTGATCTAAAATCAGAGGAGCAGCTCATACACCTGGGAATCAGTGTCAAAGCAGGTGGTACTATTCCCGCATGTCTTTCATGCAAGACATCAGAAGAATTTATACCATTGGACTACAAATATTCATCATGTTCTTTAGCTTGCCCAATAACTGAGAAGATACACAATTACAATGACACTTCAGTTGAATGTATAATTCATGTCTCTGCAGGAGAAATGCCCTAAATAGATCAGCTTGGATATACGTTTGGTGAATACTCATAGACAATATACTTTATTACTCACACCCATGTGGTGTAATAATTTTCAACATTTCTGGTATCCTCTAGTTTAGCTTTCTGAAAGTTTCTTCACACACTCATGCAACACAATATGACACATAAGCCTCAATAAACAGTATCGGCCTTTATCAGTTTTGACATACTTCTACTAAATAAAAGGACTACAAGCATTAGATATTAATAAGCTTTTACATTCAGATGTCACTCCAATATTCATTGAAAATAACCATTTTTAGAGTCAGTTAATGAATTCAACCTAATTTTTATTTCTAAAATAGTCCTCTTTGAAGTATAATGTTATCCTCTAAAGAAATTTCATTAAATAGCTATTTTATCCAAGACTTAGCTCCTTGATGTATGGAGCCAATGTATTCATATTCAAGTTTATCTTATTTTTAATAATTAAAATCAGCCGGGTGCGATGTCTCAAACCTGTAATCCCAGCACTTTGGGAGGCCGAGGTGGGTGGATCAGGAGGTCAATAGATTGAGACCATCCTGATCAACATGGTGAAACAGCGTCTCTACTAAAACTACAAAAAAATAGCTGGGCATGGTGGCTGGCACATGACTGTAATCCCAGCTACTCTGGAGGCTGAGGCAGAAGAATTGCCTGAACCCAGGAGGTGGAGGTTGCAGTGAGCCGAGATCGAGCCATTGCACTCCAGCCTGGGTAACAAGAGCGAAACTCCATCTCAAAAAAAAAAATAAAATAAAATAATGATAATTAAAATCAACAAAACATATATCTCTGATGCCTAATAACAACAAAGAGGAGTAATAAGTCACTGTGGATTATCCCAATTCGAGCACTCTTTTCTCTTTCCAGTAGTCTCTGAAGCAGCCAAAATGGAATCGTCTTTTACGCAAATGTTCTATATAAATCCAAAGTGAGCTCACTCACGTTTCCTCAGCAGAAACCCCTAAATTACACACATAATGTTTTATTTTCCCTCCTTGCTGCCTCACAATCCCTCTTCCTTGGAGAAAATAACTATTACATCGGTGGTCTCATTAGTTCTCTTATTCTACAGTGTTTATGGGTTATTACAATCACTTCTTCCCTCTGGTTTCAGCAATACAACCTGATGTCTATCATTTCTATTACTACATCTCTTTTTCCTTTCCTTCCTGAAGAAAACATGCTGTGGAATTAAAGCAAAATTATGCTGTCCCTTGAGCTTGCTATGTCTTGAATTGCTCTTCAGAGGTTCTTCTATTTAATTTCAACGTAGAAGAGTTTATAATCGTACTACTCAGATCACGGACAAGGACCAGCCGCGTCACTGGCGCTAAATAACTTATTACAAATGCAGAATCTCAAGCTTCCTGAATCAGAATTCACAGTTTCCACGAGCCCTCTGCTGATATATTTGGAAAGGGAAGTTCCCTCTTATCTTCAGTGAACATGACATTAAATGTGTATTGCAAAATTACCTGTCCCAGATTTTGATCCATCCTTTATTTCTGTGGCTATATTCGAAACAGGATCTTTCTTCTTACATGTAGCCTGAATGGGATTTGAAGCAAAATAATCAGAACATGATGTATATTTCACAGACTATGCAGTTAATACTTCAAAATACAAATGAGAGTGTAATCACCTTCGAGGCCCGTTGTTTCTGAGAAGACACTGAAAAGAAAAAGGGATACATAATAAATCATATGTAAATATGCTAAAGATATCCATACATTCATGCAGTGTTAGCATCAACCTGTATTTTTCTGCCTGTGGTAGTGTAGGCTTTGATGTGTTATACTTTGTGTCTTGGGACAGGAACATGACAGAAAAACACTGAAGAAAACAGGAAACCAGGCTTCCAAGAGTAAGTTCCTTGAACAACAAAGACAATATATTCATATTCAAGTTTATCTCATTTTTATAACTAAAACAAAAAACAAATGCATCTCTGTGGCAACATTAACAGTAACAAAGAGGAGCAATGAGTCAGTGTGGTTTATCTCAATTCCAGCACTATTTCTGCTTCCAGTAGTTCCTGGAACAGCCACAGTCAAATCTTTTTTTACGCAAATATTCTAAATGCATCTGAAGGGAGCTCACTCAGGTTTCTTCAGCAGAATCCCCAAAACTGTGTAAATAACTTCTTCTGTTCCCTCCTTCCTGCCTCACAATCTCTCTTCCTTAAGGAAAGTAATTACTCCATCAGTGGTGTCCTTAGTTGTTCTACAGTGTTTATGGGTTATTACGATCCGTTTTTCACTCTGGTTTTGGCAATTTGGTCTGATGCCTATAATTTCTATTACTTCATCTCCTTCTCTTTCCCCTCCTGATAAAAACATGCTGTAGTACTAAAGCACAATTATGCTGTCCCCTGAGTCTGGTATATCTTCAACTGCTCTTCAATGGATCTTCTTCCCAAGTTCAACGTAGGGAAGTCTATAATCTTACTACTCAGATCAAGGCCAAGGACCAGCAGCATCAGCGTCAACCAAGAAATTATTACTAATGCAGAATCCCAGGCCCACTCAATCAGAATGTGCAGCTTCACTGAGCCTTCCACTGATTTATTCAAAAAACAGAAGTTCTCTTCAATCTTGAGTGAACATGACATTAAATGTGTATTGCAAAATTACCTCTCCCAGATTTGTCTCCATTCTTTATTTCACTGGCTATAACTGAAACTGACGTTTTCTTGTCACTTGTAGCCTGAATGGGATTTGAAACAAAATAATCAATATATTAAGTGCGTTTTACAGACGATGGAGTTAATAATTAAAAACATAAATGAGAGTGTATTTACCTTCAAGGCTGGTTGTTTCACAGAAGACACTGAAAAGAAAAAGGGATACATAATCAATCATATGTAGATGTGATAAAGTTAACCATACATTCATTCAGTGTTATCATCATGCTTTATCCCCCTGCCTGTATTAGTGTAGGCTTTCATGTTTCAAACTTTGTGTCTTGAAACAGGAACATGACAGAAACACACTACAGAGAACAGAATTACAGGTGTCATCAAACATACACTTACAATTTCAAATATGATATTATTCTTTATATGTCTATTACCACAATAAAAGAGTGTCATTGTGCATGTGCATATGCTGAGTGATGAGGAAAAAATGTGATCTAAAATCAGAGGAGCAACTCTTAAGTCTGGGAATTAATGTCAAAGCAGGTGATAAATGCTCCTGCATGTCATGTCTTTCATGCAAGACATCAGAAGGATTTGTACCACTATACTACATATATTCATCATGCCCTTCTACTTGCCTAATCATTGAGCAGGTGCACAATGACTATGACACTTTAGTTGAATGTACGCTTCACAACTCCTCAGTCAATGTGTCCCAGAATGATCAGCTTGGATATAGGTTTGGTGAATCCTAGTATATTACATTCTTTATTTCTCATACCCACGTGGTATAATAATGTGACTACATTTCTTGTATCCTCTAGTTTAACCTTCAGAAATTGTCTTCATTCACTCATGGCAAGAAGACATAATATACATATATAAACCTCATCAAAAAGTATGATAAATGATCAAATTTGACACAGTTATACAAAATAATGTTGCTACAAGGATTAGATATGAATAAGCTTTTCCATTTCAAACTCACTCCAATATTCACTGAAAATAAACTGTTTAGGAGTCAATTAATGATTTCAAATTATTTTCTTTCCAACATGGTCCGGTTGGAAGGATCATGTTTTTCGCTAAAGAATTTTTATCAAATTGCTATTTGATCCAAAAGTTAGCTCCTCTAAAAGCAAAGTGAATGTATGTATATTCATGTTTATCTCATTCGAAGAACTAATATCAACAAAACCTGTATCTCTGATGCCCAAGACTAACAAAGGCAAGTATAGACAAAGACAGGATAGAATATTAAAAACATAAAAGGGCACAGTGGCTGGTTAATATAATTATCTCAGCTACTCAGAAGGCTGAGACAGAAGTACCATTTGAGCAGCCCAGGAGTTTGAGACCAGCTTGGGCAACATAGCAAGATCCTATCTTTATAAAAATATTCATGCAGGCCGGGCACGTTGGCCCAAGCCTGTAATCCCAGCACTTTGGGAGTCGGAGGCAGAGGCCAGCGGATCACTTGACGTCAGGAGATCGAGACAAGCCTGGCCAACATGGTGAAACCCCGTCTCTACTAAAAATACAAAAATTAGCTAGGTGTGGCGGCACACACCTGTAGTCCAAGCTACTAGGGAGGTGGAGGCAGCAGAATCACTTGATTCCAAGAGACGGAAGTTGCAATGAGCCAAGACTGTGCTACTGCACTCCAGCCTAGGCAGCAGAAAGAGTGAGACTGTGCCTTAAGATTAAAAAATAAATAAATAAATAAAAGAGAGTAAAGAAAAAAGAAGAAAAGAAGAATCAGTAAATAATTCAATAGGCAGGCTCAAATAGCTTACAATTTTCTAAAGAGTCTTCATGAGGAATCCTCTTCATTTTACGTGATTTTTCAATGAGCTAGAAGAAAAACACAATCGGATTAAGAATAACATGCAGCAAGTTAAAATAATTACAACAGCCACCATTACTACATGATCTAATACAAAATGTATAGGTTTTAAAGTCACTCCTATGTAGATTCAAATCTCGAGTCCACCATTTACGTATCGACATATTTTAATGCCGTGATGATTATGATTGGTGGTACAGATAGTCTCACAATGTTACTCCTTTCAACCCTAGTGGATTATTACATAAACACTATGATACTCATTAGTTTCTTTTCCTCTCCACAACAAACTAGGACAAAAATTTACTCGTATGTAATTTTGAATATCACTGAATAAGAGTAATAATACAAAAGTAAATTAACTACATTATTTTTCAAAATATCTATGCATCATATCTATCTGTGGGAATTACATTTTGTGGGGAAAAAATTTGAGCCTGTTGGTGTTAGTAGTACTATATTTAAATGGGTTGGCATCGGAAACAGTACAAGTTGCTTGCATTCTCTGTGTTAAAAGCTAAGAACAAATTATTGTATAACTTCAGCTCCTTCGAAAAAGGGAGAACAAAACAACCAACCACCTTATAGAGCAATGATTGACGAATGAAAGCCACACAGAGCTGCTAAAGAGAAAGCGGTAATAAGTGTGCTGATAATAGAAACAGAGGTGAAATGAAAAAACAGACACTAAAGACATGTGTTCTGCAAGGAAAAAGTTAAGACTGAGGTAAATCATTTTTAAACAAAGAGGAAGGATAGAGAAACAAGCAGAGAGAGAAACATGACCAGTCAATCAAACGTGAACTTAGAAGAAAAGCTTGTGTTCGTAATACAAGCCCAATAATACCAGTTAGCATTTACTCTACAGTTTGTTTTGTGTCAATACTTATGTAACAAAGAGTTTAATTCATTCAGTATAAAATAAGACATCCCAAGAGTTAAACATGATCATCCACCTGAAAGCTGAAACACTCTTACTACAGAGAGAGAGAAAGAAAAAAATAAAGTTCCATCAACTTTCTACCTGCAGAAAGAATTTTTATTCACAATTCCAAAGAGTAATGTATGCCTTGAATAATATATATTTAATACAATATGATTGGGGCTTTAAATGTATAAGAAAATTTAATCTGAAATCCTAATCCAAGCTTCCAGTTGGAAGATATTAGGAAACAGGCAGTATCCACCTTTCCTATTTCCTATCCCTCTTTGCTAATTTTTACTTTCTTCCATATGACGTTTTTTTCTAAACGTAAGTCACATAAAATTTACACATGTCAACATTAGAAGAAAAGATAAACTGAAAATATTCTAGAAATATAACAGATGTAACTATTAGCTATATTATGCATACCTGTTAACTACAATATTCCATTATATAAAAGCCCATTTGCCCATTTGTTTATTCCCATTAAAACTATTAGAAAGTTTCTTACATGCAAGATCTTATTCTAGGTATTCCAGGATACATACAGATATGTTCTTTATTTCAAGTGGCTCATAGTAATGCAGGAGCTTTACAATTATTTTTTCAAGAACAAAGCACACAAGCCTCTGAAATTTGAAATTTAGAATGATACAAGGACCCTGAGTGCTTATTTTTTTAAATTATAATGCAGAAACCTTGTGAAATTAAAGTCTTACCATAACAATAAGAAGAGTCTCTGCTTATCAAACAGGTTGTTTTTTGTTTTAATGAAACTGCATATTCTTCAAAGACATAATGAATTTAAACTATATTCTTAACTTAAAAAGACTTCGAAAACACAGTGTAAACCCTTTGTAATACAGATTTCAGAACAGTACTTAAATTGCTAATCTCCCACAATTTTTTTGTTTTTTTGAATTAGAGGTAAAGTCTTGCTATATTGCCAAGCTTGGTCTTAAACTCCTGGACTCAAGCAATTCTCCTAGCTTCACCTCTTGAAGAGCTGGAACTACAGGCACATGTTAGCATGTCTAGTTAAATTTCCCAATTTCTGGTATTATTTTTCATCTAATTATAGAACCAAAGATAAAAATAAAGAAATGCTCTCCGCAAATAACTGTATGATATCGAAATATGTGTACAAGAAATTAAAAAAAACAATATGCTATATGTAACAGGGGCATTCCATGATTCCTATAAGTCATCTGATCTATTAAAGAGTCATTTAAACAGAAGTGTTATTAGGCATACTCAATTTATTTATAACTCAATGTTGAGACACATACTCAAATAAGCCTAGACCAAAATTCCTATTTCCTCTATTGCAAGAAAGCATTCTCTAACATCATTTTTCTGTCACTATATATTTTCCAGCCCATTATTTTCAGATCCAAACTCTCAAAGTATTTATCAACTATTTCTATTCTGCAAAGGAAAAAAAATAAAAATTAACCCCTCCTATTTCTTTGAAATGATTATCTCTAATAAAATTTTTAATACAACATAGAACAATGATACGTAGACAACGGCCAAAGTTTAGAAGATGATAATATAAAAAATGAGATTCAGAGTGAGAAAATTAATTTCACAAGTGAGTAGTTTACCTCAGAATCAGAATCAGACTCATCCTCTGGCACAGGCTTTGCACCATCCTCCGGTCTCTGGAGACACCTATAGAGAAAAACGATACAACAAAAATGAGTAGGTTCATTTCTTAACACAAAACAAACACTGTCAGTCTATACATCCATGTCGCCTTCCCAAAAAATGGTAAATCCAAGTCTGAGGAAGGTCAGTTACCTGTACATTAAACAATATTTCTTCATCTAATTTAGATATGGTCTCTGTTATAGAAAACATTTTAGTTACCTATTTCTCCCTCCACCTCTCCCAAACTACGAAATATTCAATGAACACGCCCTTAAACCGATAACAAATACTGACAGGCAATACAATGGCACAGCCAGACAATACTTTGTCCTTACAAATTATCTACCCTAAAGGCAAACTGAAAATCCAATTGATATCCGACAGAACTTTTGCTACTGAACTGGAATAAACCTGATAACCTAAAACAAGGTAGAAAATGCACTGTCTCTATTCCATAAACAATTTCTGATTCAAAGACTAATCTGTGTCACTGGAAGATGGGAGTCTTCGATCTTCAGCATGTAAGCTACTTAAAGAGTGCCCATTGATTCTGTTTACTCTAGAACACTGCACGAGCATCCTCAAACACTAGACATATTTGAAAGCTGAGTGTACAAAAAGCAAATTACAAAGGTTTACTTTGTTATTGGGAATATCCTTCACAGAAGATTAAAATATTCAAAATTATAAAATCTAATTACGGTGATTATATAGATACTGCCTTATTCAGGTCCACAAAACCCAGCAGGATTAAAAACCTTCATAGACAATCACACCTAAGACAGACTGCTGGAAAAGTCTCCCTACTGAATAGTTACAGCTCCATTTCATTTATAACTATCTAATTATCTTCCTTCCCATAGGCTCCCACTTCTGGATCCCTCTTCTGCAGGGATCCATGGCAGTATCCAATCTACACCATCAGCCTAGAAAATCCCTGATTCCTAAGAAGACAAGCTAAAGTAATTGAGATGAAGACTTCTCTATTCCTCTGCTGCTGGAAAGTAAGTCTCAGTCAACCACCACAAGCATCGAGATGTTACCAACTACCCAACTGAGGCTTCATTACCGATTTGCCAACCAATCCTACCTTTGCCCTAACCTACAGGTACATGAGAGAATTCAAAAAAGATGCAAAAAAAAAAAATTGACATCCATCCTGGGTCACAGATCTATGCACTTAAGCAATCTCCAGCTCCCTAATTTGTGAGGTGTTCTAAGCCCTCTGTAAGCTTAGGGTGGAAGAAGATACCACATTCCTATATGCTTCCAGAGACTCTTTCAGCGGCTCAAATTACTTTTAACATTTTTCAATAAAAACTTTAAAGTTTGGCAGTTCCTCCAGTTAAACAGACAAAAAGGCATCAGCCTTTTCAGAACTCCTTGAATGCCCTATTTTAATACGCCTTTCTTGATAACTCCCAACATCCCGTGTTTCCAACTTCTTAAGTGTTTGTTTCTCTTCAAATTTAGCTGTGCCCTGCAAATTCCATTCTTATCCACTTTCATTGAGTTCAACACCACATTCCATTCTCATCCTCTTCCACTGTGTTCACTAGAGCCACTCCCTCTTTGTTATAAAAACACTAAGTGACAAAATGATGTAAGTTTGTGTTTTGAATTAAGAAACCTGAGTGCAAATCTCATTTCTGCCATTTACTGTATCCAACAGAATAATTTCATCTCTTTGAGTTTCAGATTCTCCACCTGAACAACCACTTAATCAGGATGTTGAACACAGATTCAAGTATTACAGGATATTTTGTTTAGTCTCCAGGATTTCTTAAAATTCTGAAATTCTTTGCCTTTCTGGTTTTGTCTGTAAGAAAATGGGAAATATTTAGCTACCATACATGAAAACAATAATAGAAAGTAATAAACCCTAAGCAAAGCAGAAGAGAAAGTAAAAAGAAATCAAGAAAATATTATTTCAATGTCATAGAAAGAAAAAAATAAATCCAGAAAACAAGAAACAGCTTCATCCAACTAGGCAGGGTACTCAAAGCGAAAACCAAACTGGGTAGTCAGTAAGTGGAGAAGTGAATTCTAAATAGGCTTTCAATATATGCTAACTATAGTTAATATAACATAGACTATATGCAGATATTCTCCATGTACAGTAAAATGATTTCTCTCTTAGACTGACCAGGTATTGCTTAGGAAAAACCTAGGGTCTTCTGGACACAAGTAACTCCTACCTGCCTTTAAAACTTTGATGGTTGAACAACAACAACAACAAAACAAGTACTTGTTACCACTGTAAATTCCAAACATATTAGGACAAACTTTTGGAGTAGCCAAGTTTCTAAGGAACACTCTAAAGAGAGTTCATACATAACAAAATGTGACCTTCTGAATTGACCTGATTTAAACCAGTACCTTGATCCCATTGCTGCATACATCTCTTTCCATCTATGTTTAGGTGCAAAGTGATGTGAAAAGACAGGCAGGATGCTTCACAAATCATGGGTTGGCTACCTGTTAACTATAGAATCATGACCCAACATTTCAAACTCTTTCGATCAGAGTTGCCTAATCAGTAAGAAAGCAATAATAGCACAACTACTTTGTAAAGCTGTGTAAAGATTACATGAGATGATAAACGTGAAGCAGGTAATCTGGTGCCTAGCACAGACTAGAACACTAAACAGGTACTAGTTTCTATTCTCTCTATCCACTTAGTTAACATATCACTTTAAACAATCTGTGATCATACCTGTTTACATGCTCGTCAACAGCAGGATGCACTTAAAGAGAAAGTAAAATATACTTTAAATCAACAATAGAAAACGATAGAAAATTGAAAACATACAAAGAGCACAGGGGCTTGTTCCCATAATCTCAGCTAGTCAGAACTCTGAGACAGAAGTATCACTTGAGGAGCCCAGGGGTTTGAGACCAGTCTGGGCAACACAGCAAGCTTCTATCTTTACAAAAATAATCATGAAGGCTCGGTGCGGTGCCTTGCGCCTGTAATCCCAGCACTTTGGGAGGCCGAAGCAGGTGGAACACTTGAGGTCAGGAGATGAAGACAAGCCTAGCCAACATGGTGAAAGTTCGTCTCTACTAAAAATACAAAAAGTAGTCAGGTCTGGGTGGTGCACACCTGTCATGTGTCTATTTCTAAAACACTGAGGATCAACAGCAATGTGGATACACCAAGTGAGGAGGACCAATGTGATCTAAAATCAGAGGAGCAGCTCATACACCTGGGAATCAGTGTCAAAGCAGATGGTACTATTCCTGCATGTCTTTCATGCAAGACATCAGAAGAATTTATACCATTGGACTACAAATATTCATCATGTTCTTTAACTTGCCCAATAACTGAGAAGGTACACAATTACAATGACACTTCAGTTGAATGTATACTTCATGTCTCTGCAGGGGAAAGGCCCTAAATAGATCAGATTGGATATACGTCTAGTGAATATTCATAGATAATATTCCTTATTACTCACACCCATGTGGTGTAATAATTTTCAACATTTCTGGTATCCTCTAGTTTAGCTTTCTGAAAGTTTCTTCACACACTCATGCAACACAATATGACACAAAAGCCTCAATAAACAGTATCAGCCTTTATCAGTTTTGACATACTTCTACTAAATAAAAGGACTACAAGCATTAGATATTAATAAGCTTTTACATTCAGATATCACTCCAATATTCATTGAAAATAACCATTTTTGGAGTCAGTTAATGAATTCAACATAATTTTTGTTTCTAAAATAGTCGTCTTTGAGGTATCATGTTATCCTCTAAAGAAATTTCATTAAATAGCTATTTTATCCAAGAGTTAGCTCCTTCATGAACAGAGCCAATGTATTCATATTCAAGTTTATCTTGTTTTTAATAATTAAAATCAACAAAACATCTATCTCTGATGCCTAATAGCAAAAAAGAGGAGTAATGAGTCACTGTGGATTATCCCAATTCTAGCACTGTCTCCTCTTTCCAGTAGTCTCTGAAGCAGCCAGAATGGAATCATCTTTTACGCAAATGTTCTATATAAATCGAAAATGAGTTGACTCACGTTTCCTCAGCAAAAACACCTAAATTACATACAGAACCTTTCTTTTCACTCCTTGCTGCCCCACAATCCCTCTTTCTTGGACAAAATAAGTGTTACATCGGTGGTCTAATTAGTTATCTCATTCTACAGTGTTTATGGATTATTACAATCACTTCTTCCCTCTGGTTTCAGCAATACAACCTAATGTCTATCATCTCTATTGCTACATCGCTTTTTCCTTTCCTTCCTGAAGAAAACATGCTGTGGAATTAAAGCAAAATTATGCTGTCCCTTGAGCTTGCTATGTCTTGAATTGCTCTTCAGAGGTTCTTCTATTTAATTTCAATGTAGAAGACTTTATAATTGTACTACTCAGATCACGGACAAGGACCAGCCGCATCACTGGTACTAAATAACTTATAACAAATGCAGAATATCAGTCTTCCTGAATCAGAATGCACAGTTTCCACGAGCCCCCTGCTGATTTATTTGGAAAGGGAAGTTCCCTTTTATCTTCAGTGAACATGACATTAAATGTGTATTGCAAAATTACCTGTCCCATATTTTGATCCATCCTTTATTTCTCTGGCTATATTCGAAACAGGATCTTTCTTGTTACCTGTAGCCTGAATGGGATTTCAAGGAAAGTAATCAGCACATGAAGCATCTTTGACAGACTATACATTTAATACTTCAAAATACAAATGAGAGTGTAATTACCTTCGAGGCCCGCTGTTTCTGAGAAGACACTGAAAGGAAAAAGGGATACATAATAAATCATATGTAAATATGCTAAAGATATCCATACATCCATGCAGTGTTAGCAAAAACCTGTATTTTCCTGCCTGTAGTAGTGTAGGTTTTCTTGTGTTATACTTTGTGTCTTGGGACAGGAACATGACAGAAAAACACAGAAGAAAATAGGAAAACAGGATGACCAGAGTTAGCTCCTTGAACAACAAAGACAATGTATTCATATTCAAGTTTATCTCATTTTTATAACTAAAACAAAAAAAATGTATCTCTGTGCCTAACGGTAACAAAGAGGAGCAATGAGTCACTTTGGTTTATCTCAATTCCAGCACTCTTTCTGCCAGCCACAGTCAAATCTTCTTTTATGCAAATATTCCAAATGCATCTGAAGGGAGCTCACTCAGGTTTCCTCAGCAGAATCCCCAAAACTGCATAACTTCTTCTTTTCCCTCCTTCCTACCTCACAATCCCTCTTCCATAAGGACAGAAATTACTCCATCAGTGGTGTCCTTAGTTGTTGTTCTACAGTGTTCATGGGTTATTACAATCCCTTTTTCACTCTGGTTTTGGCAATATGGTCTGATGCCTATAATTTCTATTACTTCATCTCCTTCTCTTTCCCCTCCTGATGAAAACACGCCGTAGAAATAAAGCACAATTATGCTGTCCCCTGAGTCTGGTATATCTTCAACTGCTCTTCAATGGCTCTTCTTCCCAAGTTCAATGTAGGGAAGTCTAAAATCTTACTACTCAGATCAAGGCCAAAGACCTGCAGCATCATCGTCAACTGAGAAATTATCACTAATACAGAATCCCAGGCCTGCTCAATCAGAATATGCAGCTTCACTGAGCCTTCCATTGATTTATTCAAAAAATAGAAGTTCTCTTCAATCTTGAGTGAACATGACATTAAATGTGTATTGCAAAATTACCTGTCCCAGATTTGTCTCCATCCTTTATTTCACTGGCTATAACTGAAACTGATGTTTTCTTGTCACTTGTAGCCTGAATGGGATTGGAAACAAAATAATCAATATATTGAGTATATTCCATAGGCTACAGAGTTAATAATTAAAAACATAAATGACAGTGTAATTACCCTCAAGGCTGGTTGTTTCACAGAAGACACTGAAAAGAAAAAGGGATACATAATCAATCATATGTAAATGTGATAAAGTTAACCATACATTCATGCAGTGTTAGCATCAAGCTTTATCCCCCTGCCTGTATTAGCGTAGGCTTTCATGTTTCATACTTTGTGTCTTGGAACAGGAACATGACAGAAACACACTGCAGAGAACAGAATTACAGGTGTCATCAAACATACACTTACACTTTGAAATGTGATGTTATTCTTTATATGTCTATTACCACAATAAAAGAGTGTCATTGTGCCTGTGCATATGCCGAGTGATTAGAAAAAAAATGTGGTCTAAAATCAGAGGAGTAACTCATAAGTCTGGGAATCAATGTCAAAGCAGGTGGTAAATACTCCTGCATTTCATGTCTTTCATTTAAGACGTCAGAAGGATTTATACCATTATACTACAAATAATCATCATGCCCTTCTACTTGCCTGATAATTGAGCAGGTGCACAATGACTATGACACTTTAGTTGAATGTACGCTTCACAGCTCCTCAGTGGAAGTGTCCCAGAATGATCAGCTTGGATATAGGTTTGGTGAATCCTAGTATATAATATTCTTTATTTCTCATACCCACGTGGTATAATAATGTGCCTACATTTCTTGTATCCTCTAGTTTAACCTTCAGAAATTGTCTTCATTCACTCATGGCAAGAAGACATAATATATAAACTTCATCAAAAAGTATGATAAATGATAAATAGGCAGGCTCAAATAGCTTACAATTTTCTAAAGAATCTTCATGAGGAATCCTCTTTATTTCATGTGATTTTTCAATAAGCTAGAAGAAAAACACAATCAGTTTAAGAATAACATGCAGCAAGTTAAAATAATTACAACAGCCACCATTACTACATGATCTAACACAAAATGTATAGGTTTTGAAGTCACTCCTATGTAGCTTCAAATCTCGAGTCTGCTATTTACGTATCCACATATTCTAATGCTTTGATGATTATGATTGGTGCTACACATAGTCTCACAATGTTACTCCTTTTAACCCTAGTTGATTGTTACATAAATACTATTATACTCATAAGTTTCTTTTCCTATGCATAACAACCTAGGACAAAAATTTACTCATATGTAATTTCGAGTATCACTGAATAAGAGTAATAATACAAAAGTAAATTAACTACATTATTTTTCAAAATATCTATGCATTATACCTATCTGTGGGAATTACATTTTGTGGCGATAAAATTTGAGCCTGTTGGTGTTAGTAGTACTATATTGAAATGGGTTGGCATCGGAAACAGTACAAGTTGCTTGCATTCTCTGTGTTAAAAGCTAAGAACAAATTATTGTATAACTTCAGCTCCTTCCGAAAAAGGGAGAACAAAACAACCAACCACCTTATAGAGCAATGATTGACCAATGAAAGCCACACAGAGCTGCTAAAGAGAAAGCGGTAATATGTGTGCTGATAATAGAAACAGAGGTGAAATGAAAAAACAGACACTAAAGACATGTGTTCTGCAAGGAAAAAGTTAAGGCTGAGGTAAATCGTTTTTAAATAAAGAGGAAGGATAGAGAAACAAACAGAGAGAGAGACATGACCAGTCAATCAAACGTGAACTTAGAAGAAAAGCTTCTGTTCCTAATATAAGACCAATAATACCGGTTAGCATTTACTCTACAGTTTGTTTTGTGTCAATACTTATGTAACAAAGAGTTTAATTCATTAACTATAAAATAAGACATCCCAACAGTTAAACATGATCATCCACCTGAAAGCTGAAACGTTCTTACTACAGAGAGAGAGAGAAAAAAAAATTAAGTTCCATCAACTTTCCACCTGCAGAAAGAATTTTTATGCCTTGAAAAATATACATTTAATACAAAATGATTGGGGCTTTAAAAGTGTAAGAAAATTTAATCTAAAATCCTAATCCAAGCTTCCAGTTGGAAGATATTAGGAAACAGGCTGTATCCACCTTTCCTATTTCCTATCCCTCTTTGCTAATTTTTATTTTCTTCCATATGACGTATTTTCTAAACATAAGTCACATAAATTTAAACATTGTCAACCTTAGAAGAAAAGATAAACTGAAAACATTCTAGAAATTTAACAGATGTAAGTATTAGCTATATTATGAATATCTGTTAACTATAACATTCCATTATATAAAAGCCCATTTGCCTGTTTGTTTATTCCCATTAAAACTATTAGAAAGTTTCTTCCATGCAAGATCTTATTCTAGGTATTCCAGGATACATACAGATATGTTCTTTATTTCAAGTGGCTCATAGTAATGCAGGAGCTTTACAATTATTTTTTCAAGAACAAAACACACATGCCTCTGAAATTTGAAATTTAGAATGATACAAGGACCCTGAGTGCTTATTTTTTAAAATTATAATGCAAAAACCTTGTGAAATTAAACAATACAAACAGTCTCTGCTTATCAAACAGGTTTTTTGTTTTAATGAAATGCATATTCTTCAAAGAGATAATGAATTTAAACTATATTCTTAACTTAAAAAGACTTTGAAAACACAGTGTAAACCCTTTGTAATACAGATTTCAGAACAGTACTTAAATTGCTAATCTCCCACAATTTTTTTGTTTTTTGAATTAGAGGTAAAGTCTTGCTATATGGCCAAGCTTGGTCTTAAACTCCTGGACTCAAGCAATTCTCCTAGCTTCACCTCTTGAAGAGCTGGAACTAGAGGCACACGTTAGCATGTCTAGTTAAATTTCTGCAATTTCTGGTATTATTTTCGTCTAATTATAGAACCAAAGATAAAAATAAAGAAATAAATCTCCGCAAAAAACTGTAAGATATCGAAATATGTGTACAAGAAATTAAAAAGCAATATGCTATATGTACCAGGGGCATTCCATGATTAAAGTCATTTAAACAGAAGTGTGATTAGGCATTCTCAATTTATTTATACCTCAATGTTGAGACACATACTCAAATAAGCCTAGACCAAAATTCCTATTTCCTATATTGCAAGAAAGCATTCTCTAACATCATTTTTCTGTCACTATATATTTTCCAGTCCATTATTTTCAGATCCAAACTCTCAAAGTATTTATCAACTATTTCTATTCTGCAAAGGAAAAAAAAATAAAAATTAACCCCTCCTATTTCTTTGAAATGATTATCTCTAATAAAATTTTTAATACGACATAAAACAATGATAGGTAGACAACTGCTAAAGTTTAGAAGATAATAATATAAAAAATGAGATTCAGAGTGAGAAAATTAATTTCACAAGTGAGTACTTTACCACAGAATCAGAATTAGACTCATCCTCCGGCACAGGCTTTGCACCATCCTCTGGTCTCTGGAGACACCTATAGAAAAAAACGATACAACAAAAATGAGCAGGTTCATTTCTTAACACAAAACAAACACTGTCAGTCTATACACCCATGTCCCCTCCCTAAAAAATGGTAAATCCAAGTCTGAGGAAGGTCAGTTACCTGTACATTAAACAATATTTCTTGACACAATTTAGATATGGTCTCTGTTTTAGAAAACATTTTAGTTACCTATTTCTCCCTCCACATCTCCCAAACTATGAAATATCCAATAAACATGCCCTTAAACCCAGAACAAATACTGACAGGCAATACAATGGCACAGACAGACAATACTTTGTCCTTACAAATTATCTACCCTAAAGGCTAAACTGAAAATCCAATTGATAAGCGACAGAACTTTTGCTACTGAACTGGAATAAACCTGATAACCTAAAACAAGGTGGAAAATGCACTGTCTCTTCTCCATTAACTATTTCTGATTCAAAGACTAATCTGTGTCACTGGAAAATGGGAGTCTTGGATCTTCAGCATATAAGCTACTTAAAGAGTGCCCATTGATTCTGATTACTCAAGAACACTGCACAAGCCCCCTGAAACACTAGACATGTTTGAAAGCTGAGTGTACAAAAAGCAAATTACAAAGGTTTACTTTGTTATTGGGAATATCCTTCACAGAAGATTAAAACATTAAAAATTATAAAATCTAATTACGGTTATTATATAGATCCTGCCTTATTCAGGTCCACAAAACCCAGCAGGATTAAAAACCTTCATAGACACTCACACCCAAGACAGACGGCTGGAAAAGTCTCCCTACTGAATAGTTACAGCTCCATTTCATTTATAACTATCTAATTA